ACGGCGAAGTATGACGGGTCCCTAATTGATGTACTAAGCCTATTTATCCCAATAGTCATTTAAGAAAATGCAATTTCAACTTTTTCGTAAACTCACATTTTCTGGCCTTTCCTGCGCTCCTACTGCATACTTTTATCAAAATATAGGAGTGTCACAGTTACCCTTTGCTTCAACCAGATCGGCGACTGGAAGGTGGGTCTACGAGACCTAATCAAGGCTAGAAAATGATCAGAGAGCATGTTTGCGAGGGAGGCACAAACTGCGTTGCGAACGCGACCATTCGCCTCATAGGCCATAAGCCCCGCCTTCCAGCAGCCAATCTGATTGAAGCAAAGGGTACTGAGGAGTAGACTGCGCCTCAGAGCACACCGCGCTCCACGACCAAAAACATGATTGAGAACGACTTGAGCCGAAGTAGAAGTTGTGCGCCTCGCATACGTCAGCCCGTAAGGCCACACTCAAGGTACGCCATGGAATCAATGACGCAACGTTGTGAAAGCTAAACACGTTCTACGAGTGGAGGCTGGTGCTCACCATGATGCTGAATATGGAGAATCTTGTTCTAACTTGAACAAAAAATTTGACGAGTTCAAACAAGTTTCTTGGACACTGATTGTCAGTCTTTCTCTGAAATTTTTTGTTTCTAAGTAAAGCCAGTTCAGAAACTCAAAAAACATTTCTACCAATAGAGGAACTGTCCCAGAACTCATATGTCAGTCATTTACTCTAAAAAGGAATAATGAAGAAGAAAATAAGGAGTTTCGAAGCTGTTAGAGTCCAATAAAATCAGAAACTGGCTCAAATCTTGCGCAGAGAGACATTTTATCTCGTTAAGACTGATTTTCAACGCTTGGGAAATTGTGATCGAGCGATTGACTCCTAGTTGTGTCATGACGATCACGATGTGTATAATGTTGCAGGGTTTCCTCGAGATCGTGAGGGAACCTACATATACCTCGAAAGTCTAATCGCCTCATAGTCAGAAGAGTTCATGAGAGTTCATGAATGACCGCACGCTAATTTGCACCCAGTTTACATCGAAGAGAGTTGATTCTGCACACGTCAACTTTGCCATCATCCGACACTTACGAAACGGGATTTTATTGAAATTATTGAAATCGAATATAAAGTTAGTTGTAAATTTAGTCATTTAGTCAGGGTAAAATTTCGTATTTGAGGGTGATCTTCATGCTGTTTCCGAATATGATGGTGGTTCTGCTTGTTGAAATTTTTTCTGTTTGTATTCTATTGTCTCCACAAGTCTTCCAGCAAAAATTCCAAAACTGTTGTTCAGAGATTTTCTGTGACGCTGTTGTCGAATATTTTTTGAACATAGCGACGTAGCGAATTTGTTCCGTTTGTTTGCGGTTTTATCAAAGTAGCAGCGAAATTTGTGGAATAGCTTCAAAATTTAAAAAACCTAAAATTCCAAAAGAGACCACCATCATAAGCACGACTAGGGAAGAAACCCCGAACTAATTTTACCATTATATCAGTCAAATTTATGAAAGAACGTTGAATTTCGAAAAAAATTCCAAAGTTCCAAGCGAAACCATCAGCATACGGTTTCTTAAAATGTAGGATGATGGCAGAGCTACCATGTGAAATACCAGCTCTCTTCGGTGCAAATTGGGTGCAAATCAGCATTGCTGCTAGTTCATGACCTTCCATGAACTTTGCTATCTACATGGCGGCAAGCTATGTAAGTTCCGTTTCCCAACGCTTGGGACGTTGTGATTGCTCCTAGTTGTGTCATGACGATCCGCAGGAGAACTATTAGGTTGTCCGAAAATTAATGCAGGTTTTGAATTTCAACAGCAGTAAGTCATACACTTCTCAATTCTAAACAGGTCGCAAAGTACCATTCGATAGAGCAAAGCAAGCTCTACAAGAAAACTATCATGCTTTTACAAGAGCTTCCATCCACCTCGAGCTCCGAGCCAAAAACTAAAAAGATCCAACTGCTTAAGAAATCGAGAAAGATCGTAACTAAATTCAAAGAAATCCAGCAAAAATTCCAACTTGCTCACCTGAACACTCTCCACACAGGACGTCCATACGCGCCGTCACCGTTTTTCTCCGTTAGAAATCAAGAAAACGGAAAATTTCGTACATTTGCCAAAGTGGTGCTGTGCCGTTTCCACATAAGTAGTTGTATACTACAAATCTCTAGAAGTACAAACGTAAATTTTCAGCTCTCTACAAGCTTTGATTCTCGAGAAACTTGAATTTTAGCTTGGACCACCTGACCAGGGAAAGCTATATTTGATATTTGGCGCACCACTTTGGCAAATGTAAGAATTTTCCATTTTCTTGATTTCCATCGGAGAAAAAATACGGTGACGGCGCGTATGGACGTCTTGTGTGGATAGTGTTCACGTGAGCAAGTTAGAATTTTTGTTGGATTTTTTTGAACTGAGTTACGATTTTTCTCGATTTCTTAAGCAGTTGGATCTTTTTAGTTTTTGGCTCGGAACTCGAGGTGAATGAAAGCTCTTGTAAAAGCAAGATAGACTTCTTGTAGAGCTTGCTTTGCTCTATTGAATGGTACTTTGCGACCTGTTTAGAAATGAGAAGTGTATGACTTATTGTTGTTGAAATTCAAAACCTGCATTAATTTCCGGACTAATACGATCAGAGCCAAATGCGCCTTCGGCTCTGCTGGTTCTCATCTGCTCGTCTGCGTCTCCGCGTCGGGTCGGTCTAGCATGATGTTTGTTTGAGGAAGTTGATTCCGAGCTTTATTGCAAAGTGGTATGCACTGTACCCTCTGTGTACACTCTACTGTTTTGTTCAAAAGTTTTAGACGTCTTTCCAAATATAAAAATGTTTTGAAGAGATACGAATGAGAACATACCGATATCGTGGTCATTGCTACTGCTGAGTTTCTATTATAGACCCCATTGTCAGAATGAGAAAATAAGTAAAGCAATTACATAAAGAAAGGAACAAGTCCCGATGTCGTTGAATAAAAATGGCGAACTTTGTGAAGCTGCATTCATGTAATCGTGAATTAACAAAAAGCTTTTGTTTCCATGAAATCGAGCGCTATAAAACAAAACACATCAAATTGTATAAATGGAAGGCTGTAACTGAATTACCCTAATTTCCGGGGTGTAAGGCGCACCTTGTATAAGGCGCACCCGCCGCAGCGAACAATAGCGCGAAAACGCTTTTCAAATGATTGCTCTGAATCTAGAAAGCTGAAAACTCAATGTGCCGTGGTTATACTTCACTGCCCATAAATCATGCCTTCAGGTACTTTTTTTACGGTTCTCATAAATTCTTTTACTCTTTTCAAAATGTATGTATACTTTAACATAGTTCCTACAGGTGAGAGGAAGATGTTCTCAATGGTGTTTATGGTGTTTAGATAATTCTTTCTTTTGAATCCAATGTTACTGCTGCTATTTGTGCTTTTCTTTCATTTCCAGTAGTGCTCCTGGTACTGAAACTGTGCTTTCCTTTACAATAGTACTACTGGTATTTTGAAGGTGCTATTTTTGCTTTATTCTTGTCATTTTCGAAGAGTAAAAGAAGAGAGATTTGTTCTGAAACAAATTACTATTGAGAGGAAAATTGAGACTAAAGAACGGGAGCAAAAAGCCACTGCTGGGTGAAGAAGGTTGCTGCGGCGCCGCGCATCGCGAGCGTCATCATACATCAGTCCGCGCGCGGCGAAAGCTACTGCGCCTTATACCCCGGAAATTAGGGTACGTTACCTATTGCAGAATCTTGCCATGTTCGTTGTGTTTCGTGAAAATAAGACATGTGCAACCGATCTAACAAGTTTGGCCACATCGGACAGAGATTTTCTGTTCTCCAAATCGGGCTTGCTGTTCATTCAGAGCATGCGTTAGGCCTCGGACAGAGTTCCCGCGATTTGATCGTCGCGACTGAATCGCAACGAGACAACTGTTACAACATCATTCCACGCCGATCAAGCATTCGGTTGTGATACTTTTCCAGCCCGAAATTTTTGAATGTGAAATGAAAATGAATGGAAATCTTGGCGATTAGATCGCGACGATTAAGTCGCGTGAAGTCTGCCCGGGGCCTTACGAATTCATTGCATGCCGATCTTCTTGTATTTCGGTTGTGATAGTTGGTCACGAGTAGTCGTAGGAAAACGATCACAACCGAAATGCAAGACGATCGACATGCAATGAACTCGTAACACTTGTATGTAGCGACTAAATCGCGACGATCAAATCGCGTGAACTCTGTCCGAGGCCTCAGAAATTCTGCTAAAAATGAGCAAGAATGGGCGCTATTACCTGATGGTTATTTATAAGGTAAATCCCGGCCAAAGATTGGGGAATTTTGCAAATGCATTTACCACGAACACTTCGCACCGAGATTCTTTGAGTCGCTTATATACCAAATATGTATGTGCACCCGCCGGCAAAATCGGACGTTTTCTTATTGATGTGAAGCATTCAACATGGGCCTTTTGGTGGATATTTTCACCCTTCAAAGACTGTACAAAAACCTTCGATTCTCAATTCTTAGATTCTTGACATTTGTTTTTATCAGCGGACAAGTGCCATTCCTAACCAAAGCCACTATTTTCTTGTTCTCAAGTTGGTGGCCAGGCCACAATTCGCTACTGATAATTTGTGACATAAATTCTGTAATTGAAAATTTTTTTGAAAGGATATTGCTTACGGTCTTTTTGACTGGTTAAAAAATTCGAACTTTCAAAACAACAATATAGGTTCGTTACAAGAGCATTTACCTTTGTAGACTATACTAATAACTATCTATGATGCTTTAGAAAATGGAGAATCCTATGTAATCTATCATTTGAACCAAAAGTTCTGTAGCAGAATTTCGGTGCTTTGCGATTAGGTGGAACAAGCGAATACCGGGCTTATATTTATCCATTCACACCTTCACCGAGCTAAAATCATCTGAGCACTAATCAATCTCTGTGGAATATTCTACATGTCAAACTTGTTACAAATGCGCGGTATTCGGAGGTGATCATTCATTTTGAAAGTAATCCGCCGCACTTTGATGTCGAACATCACAACGGAGGAAATCGAAACGCCACTCATCTTCTACACAATAAAGTGGTAAGATTCTGTGTACACCCCTAAAATCAACATAAGTTGAGTTGGGCTAAAAGCATGTGATAACAGTACAAGACTCTGCTATCAAAAGGCATAAACAAAGCTATCTCAAAAGTAAGGCATTGAGAAACATAAACTCTGGTCTGAAACCTCTTCCTGCCCTGTGACACACCCGGCTACTTCTTCAAAAAGAACCAGTTCATGAGTTTGTGAGCTAACATGTTCTTCTGTGTAGGAAGAGTAGCACGAAATCTTCTATGAAAAATATGGTGTTTTGAGCAATCGCAACTGCTAGCTACTAAGACAGTCGAAGGGATCTCCGGCGGGCAAATGGCGCGAGTCTGCCATTTCGCGCTCTGGAGCGCTCCGGAGCCTTGCCATTTCACCCATTTTGGTGCTCCGGCGCTCTCTCAAATCTGGCGCACCTCCGGAGCAGAGATTTGCGCGTCCCGGAGAGGGGTCCCATCCGCCTTCTTGTGACGTCCCCGTGATGTCACGGTGACGTCACGGTGAACGAATGCTTGTGACGCCACCGTGACGTCACGGTGACGTCACGGTGAACGAATGGGACCCCCTCCAGGACGCGCAAATCTCTGCTCCGGAAGTGCGCCAGATTTGGGAGAGCTCCGGAGCGTAAAATGGGTGAAATGGCAGGGCTCCGGAGCGCTCCAGAGCGCGAAGTGGCAGACTCGCGCCATTTGCCGGCGGGAGGTATCCCTTCGACTGTCTGAGTAGTTTGCGTTAGAACAGTTTAAATATCCAACATGGCTGACTTCAAAAAGGCATCCTATGAGTTTTTGGAAATGGAGGAAAGGAATATGGGGGGGGGGGGATATCTCAACTAGGTGCAGAGTGCTGGTTCTTTCAGATTAGAGCCACAATTTAGGCTTAATCCTGGTAAAAGCTATCATGAATCAGGAATCCGCTTTAGCGCGCCCGCTAACTGTAAATGTTTTTCAGAACCGTTGGTAGGTGACTTTTTTAGTTGTGTGACTCGTAATAAGAGCAGTAAGCTTGTGCACGTACATTTCCTCTTGATGAACCCTAGACGAGCACTGACGCTGTAACTAAAAAGCCCCTGTTCTTAGATCCATAATTTGCTGCGTTGGGACCGTGATGCAATCCACTTTGCTTGACATTCGCAGTTCCTCCAAGCTTGTTAGAAAAAAGGCGGAGTGAGTTACTCCCCAAATTAGCCCGAGTTTTGAAAGTTCTCAAAAAATAAGTACAAGTTAGAAGCTAGAAGTACAAGCTACATGTACAAAACCACAACTGCCAAGGTTCCTGACCCATTCCCGATCGGTCAGAAAAGAAGAACAGAAGAAAGGTAAGAGCGCCCCTCTCACTCGAGATTCGCCTTTACTACACTATTGTTTGGTAGAAATACGATAAAAACTGCGTGAAAATTTTCTTTGTTGGGGCATAACTGTTTTCCTTTTCAGGATCAATCCTGTACTCGATTATATAAGAAAAAACTGGATTGCACTGTTCATCGCTATTGTGATAACGACTTTGGTCTTGGCTCTGCTCGACAAGATAATCTCCCCGTACCTCCATGAGATCTATAGTAAGAGCGCTTGTTTACATATCTTCGTGCACATAGTGCCAAGCTGTTACACAGTATCTTCCAAGTGAGAAATTCGAATATATCAACGTAGGCCAGTATGCACGTAAATCCCCGCGGGAGGGGATGTGCGCTTCACCATTGAAATGATCCCCGCTGAGGCTCCCTCCCTTTTCCACACGAACCCCCGTATGCACAAAGGCAATACCGGGGAGGGGATCCCCTGAAAGTAGGGGAAGGGAACCCTATTATGCAGAAGGGGGGATCGAGCGGAGAAATCATTTCGCTTTCGCTTTTTGTGGTAATCACTCCTCTTTTCTCATCTTTTGGTAGTTACTCACCTCCAGCATGTCATCGGCAATATTTTACTCGTTGCGGAATGCCATCGCCCGTGATTGCGCTCGGCGCAGCAAAAAAAATTTCCTACGCACAATATATTTTTGCTGTTTTCAAGGATGTTGCTCACTTTCGCTAATGCTGCACATTTCAGCGTAAAAGTGTCCAAGATTAGAAGTTATGATGTCTCTATAGTGAATAAGTAGAATATGTTATGCTGCCGAGAAGGAGGGAGGAGGGTGCCGCAGACATTTAAACTAGAATTTCCACACATAAAAGAAATTGCAAATCGTGCTAGCTTTTCATGGAAGCTGTAGCTATTAGCGACATGCCGTCCATTCCTCCAAGGGAATGATCCCCAGCGGCCATCCCTGCTATGCACGAGGGAAATGCTGGGGAAGGGATCACTCCCCAGGGGATCACTACTCAGAATTAGGCAAATCTGCTATTTTCTAGATTTTTTCAAGGCAGCTTATGTTAAATTACAAGGTAGGAGCAATATAACATGTAATACGATAGTTACCATGTATCTGATCAGCCTATCTGGCTAAAACTATTAGTCATTTGAAAAATGAGCAAATTTCTTGAATGATCAAGAACTCCTACAAATATTCGAGAATGGCAGCTATTATTGCTTGGGTTTCTTTTCAAGAGGGGAATCTAGAAGAGAGACAAGATTGTAAGTTACAGGTCGCTGAGAGGGGAATCCGGCTTTCAAAGGAAATCTTTCATCAAATTGAACGAATTGCTTGGTAATAGTTGATTAAAACCAGAATATTCGCTTCTCTGGCATGATCTACACCATCGAACCCCTACTCCGTTGCAAGGGACGTCGATCCCCTCCCCCGCGCTGTTGAGCTACATTTGTCCATACGGGGAGGGGAGGGGAAGGGATCCCCACCAGGGTCAGCCCGATCGATATCCCTGAAATCAAATACCGAACTTGTGGCAGCGAAAGGGTACCGCAAAGAAATGGCTAGCAAGCATTGGAAAAAACACAGAAACTACAAAACTGCACAGTCATGAATTCTTCTATGAGAAAAGTAAGCCATAACATAAATGCGAGGAAACTGCTAAAAAGAATCACACCACTTCAAAAATCAACATTATACTACGACAGCACGTAACAAGTATAAGAAACCCTTAAGAGCAGTAATAGGGAAAAAAAGAAGACAGCGATGGGGGGAGATACAATGGGAAGGGTGAAAGGAGAAAAAAGAAAGAAGACTGAGAAAAGGAACAAAGGCACTCGAAATCACTATTCTTGTATTTCTCATCCCAAAAGCCATTTAGCACACAAAAATGGCTGAAAATAGCTTTTTCGGCGAGATGTTCAGGTAGCCGTGAGCTAGATGCGACTACCGCAATGACACCCTCCCCGCTGTGGGTGCAGGGGAGGGGATAGCTCCCCTCCCCTCTGGCATAGCGGGGTTCAATAAAGGGGATAGCTCCCCTGGGGATCCAGCTCCCCTCCCCTTCCCAGCGGGGATGTACGTGCATACGGGCCTTAGAAAAGCGAGTAGAATTTGATAAGCACGGATAAATCGCAAGTAATAGTGTAAAATAGGGAAGGAGAGAGAAAACAGGATGCATATAATTCTAGACATTTACACTTCGTAAAATGTTGGCAGATATTAGGCATGAGTCACAAGGTGATAGAAAAAACGGAGCAATTTTGGCTCATTCTAGATTGAGGCAACTAAATATCTAGCATCGTTGCTATGCATTAAGGTAAGTAAACAAAAGCGCGGCAATTGCATTTTTTCGGGACTTTATGAAGGTTCATGGGTAAGCTAGGAAAGCTAGGAAAAACTCGGTTTGCTGCACAATTACTGCGGTAAGGTTGTCAATCAGTAAATCCTGGCTGCCCACATACTAAAGTCAGCATCTCTGATCTCAGGCAAATGAGTATAGGTTCAAGTAAATAAAGCATAATCTCCCATAATACCTATGACACTGCAAGCATTTGCATCAAGCGAAAATGATAACTATCAGCTGTACTATTGGGTTGGCACATAAGTTTTGCAACTTTTTCCGTAACTTTTTTCCTATTTTATGTAACAATCTCATTTTGTGGCATCATGTAGACCGTGATGTAAGCTGCAAATCTGCCCAAACCGTTTGATTTTTGATATCGTAGTACAAAAAATCCAAGCATTTTTTGAAAACTGCTGAAAATCGAGGTTTCACGATTTTTTGGCAAACATGAAGCCCTACGAAACCTGATTCAAACATATGAAAAAGCAATCATAGGCAGCATGTAGCTGGAAGTTGGCACATTGGAATCAGTGAAAAAGAAATGAAATTTAAACACAAATTAAGGTGGGGCGCCTTTGAGAAGTTGAACAAGTCAAATGCGTCAAGTTTTGAAGGCAATTTGTCAATAACTAAGCTGCGAAAAGTCAGAATTCGCTATAACTTTGCACTATAGGGTAATCCTATGCGGTAAACATGAATATCGTAATCATTTGTCGCTAAAATGAAATTCAACTTCTGATCTCACAAACGAGGCCTTTTCATGCGAAACGGATCTCATTTTTGAGATCAGCATGTCAAGTAAGCCCTATAGGCCAAGTTTCAGCAAAATCTGATGCATTCTAAAATTTTTCCCATAGTACCGTAAACCTACCGTAATCCTCACATAAGATGGTAAATTTCGGCAAAAATGTGTGCATTAGAAGCTTACATCATATTCCTTATATTGCCAAAAAATGAATGCGCTACGTTCAAATAGACAAAAGTTATATAAAAAGTTGCATTACTTATGTGCCAACCTAATAGATTTCACACAGTTTTAGTTCCTTGAATCTTCTCCTCTTGACCAACAACAATAGCACGACGAATTGGCGCTAGAGTTCTTACACATTTCCTTTCGAAGGCCTGCTGATGAGTAGCATCCTTCCACGAGCTTTGAACAGTTTTATGAACAACAGATATGAGAATCTTACATCATCCGATTTCCAGTTATCTGACCTTCTTAGAACGTCTTCTATTCTACGACTCTGCCTTGGGTCATCTAAAAGACGTTTTGGAAATGGACTATGACGTGTTGTGGAACCAGCCAGACTTCTGCCTCGCTTACCTGAAGGTATCTTTGGTTTAACCCGAAAAAGCGACTAACAGTGTTTCTTCTTCATTCGTCACAACCTCGAATAGTATTCCAAACAATTAAGTTTGCCACGTAAAGTCTTTTTCAACCCGGGCGAACATTCCAAGTGGAGCAGCGCGTCCGCACCCACTGGCTCAGCGAGATAGATCAGAAAGAAGAGACGCAGACTGCAAAGCGACGCGAATCGTTGCGAAGCGAACTCCAGCCAATCCAATTTCCGCCCAAACAGAGCTGAAATTTACTATAACATAGCCTTTCGAGACAATGATATTGTTGACGCCAGTGAACGGGGACGGTGAATAAAAAGTCGAGCAGGAAGTGTTTCGCTCAACAACCGGACGCACCCCTCCCCCACACGACTCCTCAGAATTGTGCCCTTAGGCCTAAGGCATAAGGGCACAATTCTGAGGAGTCGTGTGGGGGAGGGGTGCGTCCGGTTGTTGAGCGATTCCGGTCGCTGCGCGATTTAGCACAACAACGGCCCTTTGTAATCCGTTGTTTATGCGCTTTTTTGATGGAACTTGATCCATTTGCAACAACTTACACAAGCTACCCGAATATGCATTCGAGAAGCGCGCACGACATATTTGTAGAAATCTGGCAAATTGCCAAGTCGCGTCGAGGTGGCCATTTGGCGGAACCGTGTGAGGTATGCCTTAGGCCTTGAGCATAACATGAGACCCTACCAAGCATAATTAGTAACGTGTTCGTAATTAGGTCAAATAACCCCTGTAGAAGTATCAGCGACTTCTGAGGCTTCAGGGCCGGTAGTAACCCCCCCCCCCCCCCGACCTGGCGGCAGGTCTCGTCGGCAGGTCGCTGGCACCTTTTCGTGAGGTGGCCAGAAACTAAAACCCTAAATTTAGGCCGTCCCAGGCCTTTTTCCAAAAGATTTTTTTGGTGAAGATGCCGCCTCGACTCTATAGGAACCTCCATAGAAATTTGCGGTTCCGGAAATCCCCCTATAGGAAAATATCTGGAATGAAAATGCGATAGCTGAAGAAATTCCTCTGACCTTCTTCACTTTAGGGCCAGCATCTGGCTGACTTCTTTCACTGAAGTTGAGACTAGAATAAAGGCATAACGGCAGAACTAAACAGCTGTTATAATGGCACTTTTTGTTTGGAAAGGAAATGCCAGCTGCTCTTCTCCCCAGACATCAAGATTGCAAAAGAGTATCGAAGCAACAGCGTTTTGTTGAAAAAAAAACGCATGCTTGAGACCTCCTGCCCACTCAAAGTGGCGTTGATAACGAAACATAATCAAAAACTAGAAGATGTCTAATTCTGCGAATAACTAACATTGTATCCATACACATTGTTGCAAGAAAGAATTGAGCAAGAGTAGAAATTTTGGACTGGCTAATGATGTATCATGTTTAGTAACGGGAATCGTACCGTATCTCCTTTGATTAGAAAGAACAATCATAACTTATAACAAAGCGCTAAGCGTCTGTCTGTCCGTGTGTGTGTATATCTGTCTGTCACGAAATTCATGGAGCGAGTTGCAGCCAAAGTCTCAAGCTAAAATCTTGCACAGTGTACGCTGGCAGCGTCTAGGCTTACACTGTATAGTAACGAATGGATCCTTCAAAAATAGCACCTAGAGTGGGTCCACTCAGCTTTTGGTACGCAAAACTGGGCCGCCGATTTGACTTTTTGCAATGTCGCGTATTTGTCTGATAAATAGATTTGCAATTCATATATTTTATTCCAAAGATGTTTTGAAAGTCTGTTTTCCTGCTGGAACAGCGCCAAAGAAGAGTGATTGCGTAAATAGTCGATTAGTCAAGGTTTTACCCGACAAAAAAGATTCTTGCACAGAAATGTAGCCCAAGTGTTCATTATCCTTAGGGGAAGAATAATGTTGAAATAAATCTAATAGTTCATGCAAATTCGCATTTGTTCTTTCGCGGAAAAGTTTTTTCTCTCACAATCACCGATCTTCCATGGAAATTTTTTGAGAATGAGCAGTTGTTTACAATTCATTTGTAATGTTCAGCATTGCGTGGTGAGTTTCAAAGTCATTACTATGCAATCACAAGGAAGGTATACGGATAGTAGAGCCAGTGCGAACCTCTGCGAAGCAGACAAATAAAAGAGTAGTTGGATTGTATGTTTCTCAAGCTTTTGAATCATATATGGAATTTCAAAAAAGATTTTCTTGGTTTCAAAGAAGCATGAGATAATTACTCAAATTTGGCTGATATTGTGACTTGATAAAACTGCTCGCATCTCGCTTCATGGAAAGGCTAGGAAAAAAGAGACGGTCTACGTGATTCCCCGTGTTCTTAGCTGTCGTATGATATACAAAGTGTTGGTGCGCAAAGGTTTCCAATCCAAAAAGTCTTGCTCCGGCGAACTATACAAGCTAGGGGGTGGAGCAAGTCAGCACAAATATCTCCACCTCATTTTTGGAAAGCCACGAGTTTTTTCACCCAATAACCTATATACCATTAGAAAGCTTAACAGGGATTCGACGTCGACCGTCTCTTTTTCTCTTGTTTCCCTCTACTCATAGATACATGGCATTTTAGCTAAAAAATATTTGTGTTTTTGTTAGAAAATTTTTATGCAAAGTGTGGACGGAGATGCCCAGTTATCCAACCCTATTACAGAGCAAGACCTCGCCAATGAACGTAAACCGTCCTTTCTAGCTTCCCTCTTTCTTTCAGAAATGAAGCGCAAAGTGATTGCATAAAATCACCTAGTGCTGATGCTAGATATAATTTTTTTTATATCTGAATTCATAAGCGAGCTAAAAAAAAAGAGACGGTCAACGTCGATTCTGTGCGTTCCAAGCTTTCGAATGCTATGTCGACTGATAAAGCATAATACTTTTCTGAGTCAAAAAATTATGTTGGATGACCTTCCAAAGCCTAAGCATTGAGAAAATCTTCATATACCTCTGTACCACTTAATTTCCTTCTTTTCACTCACTCTCCTATTGAAAATGTAAGCTTGTCTCAGCGTTCATCTTAAAGCTCAGTTACGCCTTCACTTTTTTAGGGCGGAAATAGCCAAAACCCCCTTCACCAGGAGGGGACCCTGCTCCCCCTATTCGCACCTGAATCTGGAACCGCAGGAGAAACTGCCGGCATCTTCGCGAGGTCACTTGCCGGCAACCTGCCGGCAACTCTTCAAAGTCCGCGAGGCGGCAACTGCCGGCATCTATTAGGTTGTAAAGAAAGTTCCCGGGCACTTTTGGAAATTTCATTTTTAAACGCATTTTTTCGGCGCTCGGTCGGACTTTGACACCAAGTTTCTTATACTATTCAGTAGAGGGAAGCCTGAAGTTTTCAATACAACTTCCGATTTTTATTGAAGCCAAGACGTGTTTGATCTGCATGTCAAGAAGAAAAATCTTTTCAACCATAAAAATTTCACAATTTTTCTTCCTACGGCCATTTTTCTGCGCAGAAAGTGTTTCGTCCAAATCATGGGTGATCTAATTGCGAAGCCTGTTAGCTTCTGACCCGCAGCTGCACTCGAGTTTTGCAATTTGCGTTCAGAAATTACAAGCTGTCGAATTTGCCTCTGACTAAAACTCTTTTCGCAGCTGGCGTCGCTTCTGCGGGGATCACCACGCCTGGATGATGGGTCCAAAAGATGTGTAAGGCATTACCCCAACAATGTTCGCAGTAATCAAAGATTTGGTCCAACTATGCAGAGCGACAAGACTTCAAATTCATTTGCACGAAAAATGAGGCATTTTTAGGGGCAAAAAATGATCGACTTTTCAAACTTTCTGGAAAAATTTTTTTGCATTTGATCCTTCAAAAACGTGAGTGGTCTCCATAACAGCTCCAGCAGATTTCTATATAACTGCATTTAAGCTCTCCACCTTTTATCGTGCCTGCGATAATCTTGCACAAACAGGCCACTTTTCGTGTCGACCTTTTCCATTCTGCGCATGCTGGTGGACCGCAGTGAGGCGCTGAAAAGCCAGAAAGACAAATCTACGTTGTGGACAAAATTGTCTAATGAAGTTTGTAGCTTCGAAAAAGAATCAATCTGCTTAAAGTTATAGCGATTTGAAAAAAATTTTCACAAGTGCCCGGGAACTTTCTTTACAACCTAACATGATGCAACCAGGTAGGGTAGATTACTACCGGCCCAGATATTGGACCATTAAGTAAAACTTTTAAGCATGATTGACTTTGTTTTAAAAGCTTATTTGCTTTTTCAAACTGAATACAAAGCACTGCTTAGTTTTTGCACGCATAATAAACCTCACTCCTTATAATATCAAACTAGAAGAATTAATCAAAATCTGTACCAACTTTCGCTTATAAGGTTGCGCTTCCAACTTTTAATAAAGAAAACAAACCAGGCTCAACTTATTACTCCGAAAACTACGAAATTTAGGCCATTAGATGTAGAAAACATTCGCTAGAGATTTGAAGGTAAGTTAATGGGGTGTGGCATGCTCCTAGAAAAGTGTGTATACCACAATTTTTTGGAGGTTATGCCACATCCCATTGAAGGCAGTGTCCCTGTAGATTTTGCATTTCCATCTTTCTCCACTTTGGGTCTTTCCGACACAAAGAACCCAAATCTGAGCTTTGAACAGGGTGAAAAAGACTGTTTTTGGGGCGCTTACCCAATTTCCAAAACGCAACTCGGACGAGTGTTTTAATGGAAAGTTGGGAGGCCCTGGTACGATGACCCTGACCCCCCCCCTAATTTTTGCTTTGGATAGCATGCACAAGAGTAGAGGACTATATGTCGAAGATAGGCTTCACCTCGCGCAGTGAGCTAGTACAAATCTGTATGCCTGCGGTGTGTGGAGCTGCGCCTTTGTCGCAGATGTCCTCGTGGGATCGTCCCTTTCCGGCGACATGTAGTCCTTCACCCCATGCACAATGCGGGTTAAGGTTGCGGGTTGCGCACACCGGTTCGAGGGCTATTTTTTCGAGGCAGGGAGAGCATCAACCAACCTAACCGGGCCTGGAGGCTAGTGGGGCGACCAAAAACCCAACCACGTCCTCTGGGCGCGAATTTTCCGGTACATTGCTTTCAACCCTTACCTGCAAAGCATTTATACATCTTTTACATAGCTGGAACCGTTAGATATTATCCTCTTTTTTGAAAATTTTATTCGAAATCGATGCTTTTAAAGGAAAATCTAGTCGTTTTTGCAACTATATTAATGGCAAATATTGGATTACGATTGTATGATCTGCACGACTACGTATATTGTGCTGCTGGAAGGTGGAAAAAGTATATATGTTCAATAGCCTAGTTTTCCCAGGAGTATTTAGAGCTTAAAACGTCCTCTTTGTTTTGAGCAATAGTTGCTAAATAGTTGCTGAAAGCTCCTCATAGAAAGCGAAAATGAGGACTATGTTTTGGCTGGCTCCTAATTCATAATTCGGAAGTTATTTGGGTGGGATTTATCAAGTGAGCAAAGAAGAAATGATCTGTATTGAGTGCAAACGGTAACTAGCTTATCTGTAAAACAAAGCTAATTGTGTTCCATAGAAGCCCTTTCACTTGGGTGGCTGGGTACTTGGGAACCTCAGATCCGCTAATACTTGATCCACTGGGGTTATTTGAGGTGCTGATTACGAAGTCGCTCATTATGCTTGATAGGACTTCTTTATTATACTTGTACGATGATAGATCAGTACCTCAGTGTGCTTTTATTTTACGTAGTGGACTTATCTGACTTTATCCACATACATCATGTTATCGCCAAACATCAGTATCACGTTGATTACGACCTCTCCCTTTGACCACCTCAGTATAACCCTTCAGGTTTGGCGTCACACGTTTGACCCTATGACCATATTTATCAAAGAATACGGTGGGTTTGCTTACGCTAAAGGAGAGGCTAGCTGTAGACATTCACAAAGCTAATGGGTTAGCTTACGCAGCGGCCGTATTTATCAACGAATTCAGTGAGTTCGCCTGCCTAGTGTCTAGGCTAACCCACGGGTTCGTCCGAGTGTGTTCCTTCACAGCGTGTTTTTTCCTTTGGTATCATGGTTAATCGAAGGGAGGTGATTGAATTTGTGTGTTCCCCAATTCCACCAAATTATTTCGCTCCAGTTTGTTCTCGTCGACGACTTCAACGCGTTACTTTGTTTACTTTATCGTTGACGCTTTTTTGATGCACCAATATCCGTTTTTTGATGCACCATTTTTGACTAGCAATACTGATACTTAAGCGTCTCATAAAATCAGATATTGACAATCCTGTATGCCTCAATTGCAAAGGAAAAGTAGATTGCCAAAAACCTTTTTCATTCAATAAATAAAAGAGAAGTTTAGATACGCTTGCCCAAGACATGCTCACTTTTTGAAAGATGAAGCCACGTCATACAATGAGGGTTTACTTCAGAACATTCTTTACAGCAGAACACAGTTGTAGAACAACACATGCTCATACGTCATCCATCAACATGATCAGTGCTAACGGCTTTCATACTTAACAGCATCCATTAGTTAGATACAGAAGGATAGCGAAAAATGCACTGAAGTGCTTTCTAGGGATAAACGGCAGAAGTGATAAGCAACACTCATAGCTAAAGTAAAAGACTACCACGTGCCTTTGTCGGATGACTATATTGCAGCTAAATTCATCGCCGAAAACCTGTGAATGATGTTTTCTGAGCGAAGGAAACGATAAAATTGCGGTGACATTGGCACATTCAATTTGCGACTGCAGTCTAAGGCCCGTATGCAAGTACATTTCCGCGGGAGGGGATGTGCGTTTGACCACTGAAATGATCCCCGCTGGGGCTCCTTTCCCTTCTCCACGCGAACTCCCTATGCACAAAGACATCAAAGGGGAAGGGATCCCTTGGAAGGGGAAGGGAAATTCCTTATGCAGAAGGGGGGATCGAGCGGGGAAATCATTTCGCTTCCGCTTTTTTGTGATAATTATCCCTCTTTTCTCATCTTTTGGTAGCTACTCGCCTCCAGCATTTCATCGGCAATACTTTAGGTCGTTGCGGAATGCCGTCTGCTGTGATTGCGCTCGGCACACCAAAAAAATACTTCCTACACCCAATACATTCCTGCTGTTTTCGTGGATGTTTTCACTTACGCTAATGCCGCCCATTTCAGCGCAAAACTGTTCAACATTAGAAGTCATGATGTCTCTGTAGTGAATGGGTGAATGGCAGAAGATGTTATGCTGCCGAAAAAAAGGGGAAGGGTGCCGCGGACATTCAAACCAGCATTTCTACATATAACAGAAGCTGCAAATCGTGCCAGCTCTTCAAGGAGGCTGTAGCTATTAGCGACATACCGTCCATTCTCCCAAGGGAATGATCCCGCGGCCATCCCTGCTATGCACGAGGAGAACGCTGGAAAGGGAACCACTCCCCTGCGGATGACTACTCAGAAGTAGGCAAATCTACTACTTTCTAGATTTTTTCAAGGCAGCTTATGTTAAATTACAAGATAAAGGCGATATGTCATGACATATGAAAGTTACAATGTGTTCAATTAGCCTATATAGCTAAAAGTATCATGTCATATAAAAAATGCGCAATTTTCGTGAATGGTCAAGAACTCCTACAAAAATTCGAAATTAGCAGCCATTATATGCTCGGTTTTTTCAAAGAAGCGAATATAGAAGAGGGAGATAAGATTGCAAGCTGCAGGTCCGAGAGAGGGACCCAGCTTTTGAAGAAAATCTTTTTATCAAATGGAACGAAAGGCTTCGTAATATCTGATTGAAACCAGAGGTTCGCTCTCTAGCATGACCTACACCATCGAATCCCTACTCCATTGTAGAGGATGTCGTTCCCCCCCCCCCCCCCGCAACGTCGAGCTATAATACATTCGTGCATACGGTAAAGGGAAGGGAAGGGACCCCCACCGGGCTTCGTCCGATCGATATCTTTGGAATCAAGTACAGAATCTGAGGCAGCAAAAGAGTATCGCACTGGTAAACGTTGGAAAAAACCACACTACAAAAAGCTGCACGCTCACTAATTCTTTTGTAGGAAAAATGCAACCGTAACATGATTGAGAGGTGATCATAACATGGACTGCTATATAGACTCCCCACTTCAAAAATCATCATTGTCACTATTGACATCCCCTAGCCTCAAAACCAGTACTATGGAAAAAGAAAAAGAGAGCGAAGGAGAGAGATATGTTGCGAGGGGTGAATGGGGAAATGTGAGAAAGGGACGAAGGCACGCGAAATTAGTAGTCTTGTACACTTTGTTCCGAAAGCCATTCTGGTGCATAAAAATAGACCAAAAATAACTTTTTTGACGAGATAGTGTGGTAGCCTTAGAGGCACCGTCCATCCAAATTGGGGTTGGTGAGATTAGGATACTTAGCAGATGCGGGGCACCCAACTGTATGATTGCCCAACTCGCGCTGCCTGAAGTTGCTTCCGAACCGAGAAAATTGCCTCGGAAATCGCTTCAGGCCGCGTTCGCGACGCTGGCTCCTCCCCTTTCGGAGTGGGCGTGACGTTCGTCCCGCCCATCCGTGCGCGCCCAACCAATCATCGTACCGAAGAAATCGGTCTGCGGGTTCGGAAACGGGGGTTCTTCGTGGTTTTCGCGGATTTTCAACTCAATATTTGGAATCAGGGGTATGAGAAGGCCCTGGAACGGCAAAAACATGGAGGTCGAAATTTTGGGTGGACGGTGCCTTTAAGGTAGAAGCGACTAGCGCAATCACACCATCCCCGCTATAGGTGCAGGGGAGAGGATCGCTCCCCTCCCCATTGTCATAGCGGGGTTCAGTGAAGGGGATCGTTCCCCTGGGGATCCAGCTCCCTCCTCTCCCCAGCGGGGATGTACGTGTACGGGCTTGATACTATGAAGAGATCCTTTCATGAAATGATGTATCTGTATTAGAGACTTCTAGCAACATCAAATTATAGAACCAGATGATGCAGTTTGCAGCCAGTCATAATGCAAACTGTGTTAAATCAAAAATCGAGGGAGCACACAATTTGACCTGAATGAAAAATCATTCGATCAACCTTCGATCGACGATGAGACTAAGGGAGAGGAAGGGGTGCACGCTGTGAGGGAACATCGGAGAACACGAACTGCAGCATATATGGAGATAGTGCATAACCGGCGAAGCTGTACTGTCGTGAGCGTATTTTCACTGCGACTACAGCGGCGCACGCCGCAGGATGCGGCATGCTGCTGCTCCTGCGACGTATGAAGGAACCCTCTGACTGTCTGACATATGCATACGAATTTGCTCGCTCTAATTTGCAAGGTCCATATAAAATGTGAGACGTATTCTTGCTTAATGTTGAGTTTTCTCCATACTTTCAACTTTGCATGACCTTATTTCCAAATGAGAACGGTAGTGTATGAGTATCATCATGAAAAAAAAAGCTTTCAGTTCCACGAAGCCTATCAAACATTTTTGGCAACTGCACGGTCCAATCACGCTGGAAAGATTTCGAAAGTTTCACGATACAACAAATACGCTGTTATACGTATGCACTGAGATAGTTTTGTTTGATGTTTTGCGTTTTGTAGCTGTATAAATTCGATTCGGTAAAGTAGTTATAAGAACGTAGAACCGTTGACTATTCTGTTAAATACAAATGCTTTTGATGGATTCATAATATAAAAGTTTGGAAGATTACGGTAAGCATGAAGAATTTCGTGAGTTATAAGGCAACATCGCCGTTTGCTTGTCGATGTTGGCGATGTGGATCGTTAACATTGACAATGACGACACGTTTGAGTGAATATCCACTATTGCCGTTAGGATACGCGATGGTGCGGCTGATTTTGAACCAGCTGTTTGCTTGAACGATCGTCTACGGCAGCATAACGTTACATGTACGCTGTTATAGTGCGCCTCCTTGGTGGAGACGCTGCTTAGTTGAGGTTGCCCACTTATAAGTAAAGTCGCACGTTTTATACTCAATTTGCCTTGACGCTGCTATCAACAATGTTTGAAAAAAGTTGCACCTTTGAAGCCCGGCATTCACGCGACAGTTACCAGGCAATTGGCCAACTGCCAGATGTCTTCAAATCCAATGTTAGTACGCTGCAAATTCATAGTGTGACTATTGTGAATTAGAAAAGTGTTGCATCTTCAACGCTTGAGCTTAGGATGAGCTATAAGCAATTGAAGCAGCGCCAAACCGCGTGAAATACGCCGGGAGTTTCAATGTGACAAAAAAGCATAGTATATGTATCTAAGACCCCCTTTGAGTTGAAAAGCGAGAGAAGTGAGTAAGGTATGCCCCAGTTACGCATTCGCATTTTGTGAACCACTTAGCGAAGCTTCGATGTTCAAGCAAAGTATCCTTTGATTCAAATGGATTGGCGGCTGGAAGGCGGGGCTTCGTGACCTAATTAAGGCTAGAGGACAATCAGAGAGCCGAGCGTGAGAAAGACGCCGTTTGCGTGGCGGGCGCGAGCGGCATTGATTGGGTCACAAAGCCCCTCCTCCCAGCCGCCAATCCAGTTGAATCAAAGGTTATTGAGAGCTGAACTCAATCTCTACGCTAATGTGAGTACTTTTCAGAACTAAACCTATTGAGGCGGTAAATGTTGAACTCTTGTATGAAACTTCCTATCCAGAAACTACGTAGTTTCTCCCTCTTTCCAACAGACATGTTTCCATACTGTTTGCCATTTGGTCACCGAAATAATCACCAAAATTTCGTACCCATGGTTTTTGTCATACTCATGTTTAGCAATTTCTCAAAATTTTAATCTTCCAAAAGATAACAGCTAGATAGAGCAAACAAAGTTTCCAGTTAGCTTTCAGAACTAACAAATTTATTTTTCTAATGTTAACAAATCACATATTTGATCAAGCCGAAACTCACAAAGCATCAAGCGACAAGCAACTCGAGTACAGTTCAATGCAATTTTTTCTCTCTTTTTTTGGAAGACGTTTTTTTCCAGAATTGTGTATCCTCTGCAGATGAATTCAACCTTATTGTGAATTTTGACGCCCCCCCCCCCCCCCTATGGCTGTACCCGAAACTTCAAAATTCGATATCTTGAAGCAACGAACGCTCACTTGCTTTTTGAATTGTGTTGGTAATCGAGCTTGAAACGCTCGAGTTCCGAAAATTACTTAGTATTTGACGCTTTAATGTTCCACACGGCTTTGCAAAATTGAGGGTTTTTAGGAAAATCATTGTGAAAAATACCGGGAAGCTAATGGAGGATGTTCAAGACTTTTATATTGCATTTTTTTACTTCCCACTGTTATCATAGCTCTTCCATAAGTTGAGATAGAAAACTTTGGAAATGGCCAAAATTGAGCGTTGCAAAAGCTATGGTCTTTCGATTTCGATCAATTTTATCAACGTGAAAGCAAATGGTCTGGAGGCAAGACTGTTGAGAAGAGGAAGAAAAACCGGGTCAAGCAGTCTTTGGAGAGTGTTTATTCGATTGTTTAGCCACAACCGAGATTGGTAGTCTTTTATTTTGGCTTTGGAGTTTTTACCCATCTTTAATATGTACGCGATTTTGTGATGAGTCGGAAAAACGGAAGGAACCTCCGGAGCGACCCAATATACAAGGTGTCCCAAAAGAATGTGCACACTGTTTGATCGTCAGTGACCCTCTTGCTTGAACGTCCCTCGCCGAATTTGAGGCACCATTCTCTAGGGCGGGAATCAACTTAGATTTACCGTTTGAAACAAATGACTTATCGCTCTTTATCACTGTAGGATCATGGTGTAACTTTTCAGCATACAGCAACACTGCGGAATACGCCTTTTGATGGAAATCCAAAAAATCTGAAAATTAGTATAGTAAGGTTTTCAGGCGTGCTAATCTCACTATATGATTTCCTACCAGTTTCACGAGCTTTTTAGTGTTTTAATCAGATTTCTGACGAAGATTGGAACAGGTGTTAACAAGTAAAACAGTTGTTACCCTAAACCTGAAGTAACTTATGAAACAAGCATTACAGTAATGTGCAAACTCAAATTCAAAATCAGCGACTTGGCTTGTTTGGTTTTTTCCAAAGGCAACTATCGCTTTCAGTGGCCTAAAAGCCTTCTCGAAGTTCCTACCGTGATTCTACAGTAATAAATAAAGATTGGAGATTTGTTCCGTGCTGTAAATTCAAGATGAACCTCGCTCCACAAAATGGTACCACAAGCTTGAGAAAGACATTCAAGCAGAAGAGTTATTGACTATCAATGCACATTTTTTTGGGACACCCTGTATTGTGAAGGTGTTAAATCACAATTTTTCACTTCCATGGTCTTTTAGCAATTATCAAGAGCAAGGCACCTCTTGAATGTTGTCCATGCAAATATCTTGAGTGTGCATGATCTCAAGTGGAACGGCCTTTTGATTTCGCAGCTGTGTGGCACAGATTGAATGATTTCAAGTTTGTCGCCAATTAGGCAGTTTTGTCTAGTTTTTTTGGCAGCTAAGCCGTCGTATTGGTAAGTTCCGTGTGTATCCAAATGACGGAAGTCTTCATAACACTATGTCTAATTTTAGCTAGTTTTTTGTGAGTCTTGTTCTATGTTTTCGAAAGTGTTTTAACAGTCTATCTATTAGGTAATTAATGCAGGTTTTTCACACCTCTTTTTCAAGTGTCGCTTCAAAATAAAATTCCATTGTCTTAGAAAAGTATGCATATCTTCTGAAGGCACTCTTCTTCTACTTTCTTGGGCCCGCTTTCGTTTCAGGAGAACTGGGTTCATTTCGAAATTGCGTGCTTTTGAAATCAAGAGACTAAACCTTGAAATTTTTACCTTTTACACTCTTTGCTCTAAATCCACCGCGAAAAATCGAATTTTTTCGCAAACTGGCATAATGCTTGTATGTGTTCTGTGCTACAAAAGCGCATTGAAAGCGAATCTCTCAAAGTTTTCCAGACTGAGAAAATTTGTTTCAAACCCAAACAACCGCTGCTATCATTCTGCGGCGTATAAAAATCCTAATTGCGAAGCAATTGCGGAGGTTTCACCGTGCGCAAAAACAATAGATATAGGACACACGATAGCAAAAAACCGGGCGCTGTTGTTCTCTTCGGCTGCGAAAAAACCCAAAAAAGCAAAAAAAAAAACATCTTTTCGTGTTTTGAGAGCACTTATGAAGAACGAGTGATTCAAAGTTTCTGCAATATTTTCTAGCAAAATTTTTTTCGTGAAAATCAACTTTAACGTGCTGCACGCCCAACTATCCATCTGTTATCTGCACAGTGAATGAAATTTGCACCATTCTACTACATTGTATAGTGAGTTATGATCTCTCAAACTGAAGGTTTTTCAAGAAAACTTTTGGCAATTTTCTGGCTATATAACGGGCCAAAAAATGGCTATTTTCTCAGTAAGGCTACAACATTAAGGTAATGCGTGTTGAATTGGCAAAGGTTTGCTGATTGCAGTAATTTTTATTGGAAACGGAACGGAACGACTATTTCTGTAAGAAGTTATAGTAATCCGAACTCAAAATTTGGAAGACCTGCGTGAATTCTGTTACAACCTAACATAAAGTAAACATCTTGCAATGCAATGATTTTGAGTAGCGTTGTCAGTTAAGTAAAGCTCATATTTCCGCCGATGCAAAAGTTCAGTAATTGCGAAATTTGGTGGTCATCATATAGTGATGTTACAAAGCAAAAAACATGGCAAAACAAGATATCATTGGAAAGTTTTCGTAAAGCTATGCACGAATTTAGAACCAGATAATGAGAGATTGCTGAAAAGATAATGGTAAGCTGCGTCAAATCCTCTTGTAGTGTATGTCTTTCTGTAGTATACGTAATTTATTGATGGGTCTGATAAATGCAAGTATCTAGAGTCTTCACCTTGTAAATAACTCACTCATATGTCCAGAAACATTATTAAACTTTTATCTCATTCAGCTTAAAAGTTGCTTTTAAGATTGAAGATTGCTACTGAATGATTTTTGTTGATATATTATGACTCGGTGTTTTTCTTTTCAAGTTTCCTATCCATTTCCAACTTTTTTTCCTTTTTTTGGTGTTCGACCTCGTTGCTGCTGTGGGGATGGAGTTCTCTGTCGTTGTTGTGCAGCTATCTTTTTGCTTTTTCCGCTATCGTAAGGTGCCGCCGTCACATTTCTAGGTCTACTTTCGCGTTTGCGTGTTTCTTCCCTCACTTCTCCAGCGATATTACTTACAGCTTCTTGCTGATTGGAGATGAGAGGTGAAGTGCCTCTAAGTTGCTTTCTCAACATCCGCTTGTGAGTATTTGGGCTGACAAGCCTCTTCCCCTTCAGAGGAGGCATGTTGACACGAAGATTCGCTGCCCATTCCAATATAAGCGGTCTATAAATTGTATGTGATGCTATCGCACTATTACAAAACGCGATCCCACCCAGTGAGGTAATTTTCTATGGCTTCGCGAACGATCCTTCTTGCTCTATGGTGGTCGAAGTCATTTATAGATTGTTGTATTAGATCGAAAATTAGCAAAATGTATGGAGATCTGCTTATACGACGTCCACCTGCAAAAAAGTTGCTGTTGGTAATGAAAATGAGATATTTATGAGAAAAAAGCAATGAGGGCATACAACAAAAACATAAAGTAACTCTTTCGAAAAATTACGGGCTATGCTAATTGCGAAATGTGCAGCAACGTTAGAAAAAATTGTGGCATTTTGCAGAAAATATTCGATTCAATTAAATGGAAAGCTCCAAATGCTACAAAAGCTGTAAACTTCATAATGTATCTCTAACTGAGGCTACACATGGTTTTGCACAAATCCATGGTCCTTGAACTAAATAACCCAGAAATGGACACATACTGAGAAACATTTTTGTCGAGCTGGTCTATCAAATCGGAAATCAGCTAATCAGAAAACAAGTGCTCTGACCTTCCCATAACTTAGTCTTTGCTGCTTCAACTTCTCTAATGTTGTGAAGACGACCCCAGGGCAAAGAGTCCGGTAGCAACCTCAAAATATCAATTCAAAAAGAGATAAGTGATTGCTAAGTTAAGTTCGATCATCATATAGATTTGCGTAATTATTTTCAAAAATCAAGCGGTACTAAAAGTTCTCTTAGGAATCTCTGAAAATGAAAAACGTATTTAAATGAGCTTAAAAACTAAACACGAAGTATTTTGCATTCTTTGTTGCGGTTCCGTTTTTGATTCCAAATAAAACAGTTCCGGAAAAGAATTAGCTACCTCATTTGTTCGGCCGCTTTACCGTGTCCATGCTTAAAGACCAAGTGAGAACCTCCTGAGGTTTTTTGTTGACAACGATTATATTCTTAGGTTGAATAAACATTGGTGAGGCTTTACGCTACTAACAATTGGGCAATTTCCAGTAAATCTTGTAGAATTCGCCTCACTCTATTGATTTTGCGAATCTTGCACTTTTTGGTGTTCTCCTTGTCTTGGCAAAGGAGATGTCTTTTTCTTAATATGTAGGTCGGTTCAAAAGTTCTTTCCTCTTTTCAACCTGCCATAAAATCAGGTGGAATAAAGGCAGGCAAACGTTCTAAGGACTACTAGATGCAGTTTTCTTCCTCTTTCCACCAGTCATTTTTTAGACCATTTGCTCCAGTGGTTTCTGAGATAATCGCTGAAATTTTGAAACCCATGGTTTTTACCATGCCAATTTTGGCAATTTTGCACAATCTTCATTGTAAACATTTGGAAAAGCTTTGATAGCTATTAGGTAGCGTAAACAAAGTGCAATTCAATGCATTTTTCTTCCATCTTCAATCAGCTTCTTAGCATTTTTTAGGCTAACTTTACCAAAAGTCTTCAATTTTGCGAGGTCGCAAAAACACAAAGGCTTCATACACTAACAAATCGTCGGAATTTGATACTTGCAAAATTTGATTATGGTTACACACTAACTTTACAAAGCAATAGAGCGTTTGCCGCTTCGAAATATCAAATTTGACATTTTGCGGATACAGCCTGGAACGGGTAAGTCATGAATTACGATAATTTTATCGCCGAAGACTCCACGGATTGAAAAGAAAAAAGCCCCTCAGAAAGAGGAGAAAACCGCATCGAATGCCTTAGTTGTGCGCCGTTTTATATTCTATGGCTCCTAGCATCACCAGAAGTGGAATTCGATAGCATCAGAAAAAATTACAAGAATTTTTTAAGACTAGCTATAGACCCCGAACAATCGCATTGAATTGCACTTTGTTTACGCTACCTAACAGCTATCAAAGCCTTTCCAAATGTTCATAATGAAGATTGTAAAAATTGCCAAAATTGGACATGGTAAAAACCATGGGTCCGAAATTTCGGCGATTATCTCAGAAACCACTGAGGTAAATGGTCGCAAAACATGACTGGTGCAAAGAGGAAGGAACTGCATGTGGTAGTCCTTATAACATTTGCCTGCCTTCCACCTGATTTCATGGCATTTTGAAAATCGGAAAGAGCATTTGAATCGACCTATATATATCGAGTTTTGGAGAATAAAAAAGCAACTCAAGATTCAAGCGTAAAAATCGTCCACCTCCATGCTACTCGTCATTTTCACAAATGTTTTCACGGAAACCCATCGATAAAGTTTGGAATGATGCCGCCGTGTTCAAAATAAGTAGGGAGACTCTCACGACGCTTTTGTGCTTGACCATTCTGCATGTTAAGTAGGATTTGATGCTCACAGTTCAATTAACATGTAGAACCACGACTCGGCATCGCCCTTCTGCCGGGCAGCCAAACGTTTATGCGCGTCCAAGCTCCAAAACGGTAAAGTGTAGGCATCGGGCGTCCCATATCTAAATGCGTGGCAAAACTAATGCCATCAAAGTCTTGTAATTACCTTATCTTTTTCCCAGGTTTCACTGTATCACCATAGTCAATCAAAAATATACGGGTTGCCAGTGGACCCGCTCCAATACAAAAATTTGTGAGCTTTATGTCACGATGAACATACTTGCAAGAATGCAGGAACTAAAGGTTTTCACGTTTGGTTTTAATGGGTTTCTTAAACTTGATGACAGTGTTTATGATGATGTACGGACAGCTGTCAAGTCCTCTCTTTGAATAAAAAGTGCAAGCTGATATGATTCTATTTTACATAAAAGATTTATCCAGACACGCATTTAGTCCTCTACTTTTTTGCCTTTTCAATATAAACTTTCGATGCGGATGAATTCGCTTAATATCCACAAACATCATCCTCAAAATATTTCAGCAGTTTTGCATATATTGAATTTTCAAAAAATGTGATATCCAAAGACTGCAAGAAGGGAGAATTATTTCATTTGCAAGACACAACTCTCTTTCGTAAAGTTCACTACCTCGCCAGAGTTCGCCGAGACTACTTGAATCTATGAAGAGTTTTGTTCTTTATCTATAAACAGAGTCAGACTAACCGCTATGGCTGAAATCGCCTCATGAGCAATATAATATGCAGTTGTTGGTTTGAAGTTGACCACTTGCTCCCGAAGCTTTTCAAGGTTGCGATCCAAAAGATTCATGACTGCAAAGCTTATTATGATCATGCATCAAAAGCAAGGAGCCAATCAAGAGCTTCCAAATCTTACAACACTTGTTCAGCATAAATATGCTGCACGCCCCCCCCCCCCTCAACGCCGTGTAGCTTGCGTAAGAGTGATCTTACTATAATATCTTTTGGTAACTGCCAAAGCAATGCGACGAGGGTACTCTCCTCCCCCATATCTTCTACCGTTGGCTATGTGTTCTCTTACAGTGTTAACAGCAGATTCGCGACAACGAGGGCAGTCTAGATTATGCGGCGACGAAATATAGCTGCGTACATGAACTAACACGGATGTGCAGAGAAACGCCGAGAGAGTACTGGGAAGCGCATGCACTCAAGGAGGATTCACATAGTTTGCATAACAGCGACGTAGAGAGTTGACGGCGTTCGTAGTTAGTTTCCAGACTGTATGCACTTTAAGCGCAAATTACAAAGCTTGCTCCGCATGGAAAGTGCAAATATGGGCAACAGTCGTCAAAGATCACCTCCTCACTCATAAACAAGCAAGAAGCGCTCAAACAACAACGAAATATTGATTCCAGACTACCGAATTAGTGCAAATGTCTGACCCCCAGTTGCTATCATAATTTGGAAAACTGTCGCCCATTTTGCTTCCTATTCTGCCTAACTTCTTACAATCATTAGTTTTCGAAAAGCACATTATGATTTTGAACAATATGAAGGTCAGGAAAATGAGATAATAAAACCTATCAATTTTACGGGGATTCGCCTAAACCTCACCTTTTGAATGCTTGTACTTTCTGAAAATATTGCTTTTGCCTCTGGAAATAGAAAAAAACAGGAGAGCTACGTCTCGTTGGAAGAAAAGAATCAGTCGATTCATGGGTAGTACATTTTTATAAATTTCTAGGATTTTGCTAAATTTCTAGAATCATTAAATACTTACTTTTGGATGCTTTTACACTGTAAAGATATCGTTTTGCCTCTGAAAACAAATGAGCAGAAGGGGCTCGGTTTGCTGGAAGGAAAGACCCAACAAATCCACTCGAAAACACATTTCTTCCAACTAGATTTTGATGTGAAAATTCAAAGAAACTTGCTGCATTTGTTTTTGGCGGCCTCTACTTTGTGAAATCCTTACTTTTTCCAATAAAAACAACACAGCAGAGGGAGCTTCTCTTGATGGAAGAAAAGACTTGGTGTTCATGCGGCAGGATATTTTTGATATGATTCTCTAGGTTTCAGTGCTGAATATCACAAGAATGGTTTGAAATCCACTTTGGCCGCTTTTGTCTTGCGAAAAACGTACTTCTGCTTCAAGAAGCATAAGTCTCGAAGAAAGGAAAGCTTGAGGGACTTTATGCGGCAGCGCATTTAGACTAAAAACTTTTCACTTTCAATGCTGAATCATGCAAAAGCTCGTTTGAAACACTCTTGAATACCCAGAGGCTTCATGAGACAGGACATTTTTGCTAGGATTGTCCAAGAAAAAGCTCTGGACGAACTTTGGTCCCGCTTTAAGAAATGACCGTTTCTTGGCGAGGCGTAATAAGGAGAGTATAGAACTGTGCATGATCGCGAAGCTCGATATGTTAGCGGCCGTTGCACAGTTCCTGAGTGTCAGCCTGAGTTTCGGGTTGAATCAGCTGTTCTACATAGATGACTGCTGAGGTGATCTTCATGTTTAATAGCTGTGGTTCTGGGAGGGTACTTGCAAGAAGAACAGCGTAGATGTTTTGGGAGTTTTACTCAGTGTGAAAAGAGTTTCCTTAAGAGCATAATCTTACTCCTACTACTACGTACTCACTTTGCGCCAAGATTGTTGAGAAAATGGAAATGATCTTGAAATGAAACCTTGTAGCCTAATCTTGCTTCTACTACTACTTGCATTGCGAAAAAGATCGTTGAGAAAATGAGAATTCATTCTCTTGCTATTCTCAGTTGCACGTAGACAGTTATCAATGTATCTGCCCTAACCCACTTGCTAGCGACCCGTAGGGTCGCTACTGCCGCAAGACATTTTTGTTAAGAATTCTTTGTTTTCAAGGCTAAGTTATAAAAAACTTCCTTGAAATCCACTTCAAGCAAAAATTCTTGTGCTTCCAAAGCAGAAAAGTAAAGGAGCTTCGCAAGAAGAACAGCGTAGATGATTTGAGAGTTATCATTGTAAAAAGTTTGCTTGAGAGCATGATCTTACTTCTACGACTACATATTTACGTTTCGCCAAAAATCGTTGAGAAAATGGAAGTCCATTTCCTTGCCATTTTAAGTTGCGCGCAGATGGTTATCAATGTATCTGCAACCCACTTACTAGCGACTCGTAGGGTCGCTATTGCCGCAGGACATTTTTCGGAATAATTCCTTGTTTTCAAGGCTAAGTTATAAAAAAAATCCTTGAAATCCATTTTAACCGCGCCTACTTCGCGAAAATTATGCTTGTGCACCCAAAAGCAGAAAAGCAAAGGAGGTTGGTCTCAAAAGAAGGATAGAGCCACGGGCATCACAGCAGGACCTTTTTGCTAGATTATTTAATAGAAAGCTTCAGCGAGGTTTAGTGTCGCTATAAGAGTGCCTTCGTACCGCGCCGGCAGCCGGCGCTGGCAGCCCGTAGCAGCCCGCAGTAGCCGCCAGCAGCCCGTAGCCGCAGCTGGCCGCTTTTGTTACATAGAGGCGCAAAATCATCATATTCTTGCTATTTTAAGCGCAAACGCCCATGGAAAGCGCTATTTTAAGCGCTTTCCATCTTCCACGCTTTTTCCTCCGTGCTGGCAATTCGATCTCATATATCATGCTTGTGGCCATTGCTGTTGAAATCTTGTTGCCGTAGATTGGTTATTCTATTGGTGCTCAGTTTCTCTTTCGCAGTTAAACAATATTTCGTCCAAGTTCCTTTGCGGTGTGATCTTCTGAATTTGGATGCGTCCAGTTTCTGCAGTGTTTATTTTTTATGCATGGTTCTGCTTCAATTATATCCTTGGCCGGTGCTTATCTTGATTAACTCTGTAATGTGTAAAAGTGGAACGCATGCTAGCCGCAACAGGGGAAAAGCGTGGAAGATGGAAAGCGTCGGCGTTTGCAACTAAAATAGCAAGAATTTGATGATTTTGCGCTTCTATGACAAAAGCGGCTAGTGGCGGCTACGGGATGCTTGCGGCTACTGCGGGCTGCCAGCGGCGGATGCCGGCGCGGTATGAAGGCACCCTAAGAAATGACCTCATGTATTGGGATACATTATCAAAATGTAGAGTTGCGCATTATTGCGATGGTCGGTGTCTGCGGCCATTGCCTGAAAAGGATTCCATAAGGTTTCTTCATCCAATGAACAACTCCATGAATCGCTACAGGTAATCAAAAGCTAACGTATGAATGCGGAAAAGCGTTCAAAGGATGGAAGAGAACTGATAGAGCTCTATGCATAAGCAATGGTGAACTCACCGATCTTTGCTATAATGCAAAGCTCTACGTTTTCGTTCGGGGATACTTTACGAAATTTGGTTAAAGCCGCTTTGAAAAAGTTACATGTCTTGGTTTTTCAGTTACTAGAAGCTTTTTAAAACATGACACAGGTCCTGAAAATCAGCCTGAGTTTCAGTTTGTATCATTTCAATGTAAAATTCCACGGGAATTGCTGAACATCTGTTTGGCTGCTTCTACTTTGTGGAAATTCTACTTTTGCCTTAAAAAATCAAAAAAGCAGAGGAGGGTTGGTCTCGAAGAAAGAAAAGCTACAGGAGCTTTATGCGGCAGTGCGTTTCTTTTGATAATTTCTCAGTTTCAATGCTAAATTATACAAAAGCTCGCTTGAAGTCGATTTTTAACCGCTTTCACTTCGCAGAAATCACATCTCTGCCTCGGGAGCTTGGTCTCGACGAAAGAAAGGTTCCAAGAGCTTCAAGCGGCAAACTTTCCTCCTAAGAATTTCTCAGTTTCAATGCTAAATTATACAAATCTCGCTTGAAATCCTCTTTTGACCGCTTTTATTAGGTCTTAAAGAAAGTTCCCGGGCACTTGCAAAAATTTTTTCCAAATCGCTTTAACTTCAAGCAGGTTGATTTTTCTTTGAAGCTACAAACTTCTTTGCAAAGACAATTTTGTTTACAACATATATTTACCTTGCTGGTTTTTCAGCGTCTCGCTGCGTCCACCAGCATGCGCAGAAGGGAAAAAGATCGACGCAAAAGTAACCTATTTGCGCAGATTATCTCAGGCATGATGAGAGCTGGACAGCTCATATGCTGTAGTTATATAGAAGTCTGCTAGAGCTATCTTGGAGACTATTTACGCCTTTGAGCGACTATCTGCAAAATAAGTTCTTCCAGAAAGGTTAAGAAATCGACCATTTTTGCCCCCAAAAATGCACCATTTTTTAATTAAGCGACTTTGAAGTCTTCTCGTTCTGCACATGAGGAACCAAATCTTTGATTATTGCGAAGATTGTTGGGCTAATGCCTTATACATCTTTTGGACCCAATGGCGATCCTCGCCGAAGGGATTTCAGCTGCGAAAATAGTTGCAGTCAGAAGCAAGTTTGACAGCTTGTAATTTCTGAGCGCAATCGCAAAACAAGCGCAGCTGCGGGTTAGTGGATTGGATCACGCACGATTTGGACGAAAACCTATGAACTTCACAAAAAAATGGCCGCAGGAAGAAAAATTGTGAAATTGTCATGGTTAGAAAGCTTTCCTTTTTTGATGTGCAGATCATACATGTTTTGGCACCGATGAAAATTAGAAGCGGCTTCGAAAAGATTAGGCTTCCTTCTACCGAACAGTATAAAAACTTGGTGTCAAATAGCGACGGAGTGGCAAAAAAAATGCATCAGAAAACAAAATCTCTAAAAGTGCCCGGACTCTTCCTTTAGAACCTAATATTTCGCAGAAATCAGCTTGGTCTCGAGGGAAGGAAGGCCTAAAAGCTTCATGCGGCAGTGCATTTCTGCTAAGAATTTCTCAATTTCAATGCTAAACTGTACAAAACTCGCTTGAAAATCACTTTTGGCCGCTTTTAATTCGCAGAAATCATACCTCTGCAAAGTCCCGAGGGCTTATGCGGCAAGATCAATGCTAACTTATCAAACTGCTTTTACATCGCAGATATCATACTTCTGCCTCCTTTTCTGCCTCACAAGACCAAGTCCCCTGGACTTGTCTCGTGGTCTCGGTCTATGCGGCAGGACATGTTTGCTAAGATTGTCCAAGAAAAAGCTTTGGACGAACTTTGGTCTCGCTTTAAGAAATGACCGTTTCTTGGCGAGACGTAATAAGGAGAGTATAGGACTGTGCATGATCGCGAAGCTCGATGTGTTTGCGGCCGTCACACATTCCTGAAAGTCAGCCTGAATTTCGGGTTGAATCTCGCTGTTCTACATAGATGACTGCTTAGGCGATTTCCATTCTTAGGAGCTGGGGTTGGGTCTTTGCAAGAAGAACAGCATATATGACTTGGTAGTTAGTCGCTGTAAACAGTTTTCTTAAGAGCCTGATCTTGCTTCTATTACTACTTGCATTGCGAAAAAGATCGTTGAGAAAATGAGAATTCATTCTCTTGCTATTCTTAGTTGCACGTAGACAGTTATCAATGTATCTGCCCCAACCCACTTGCTAGCGACCCGTAGGGTCGCTACTGCCGCAGGACATTTTAAGAATTCTTTGTTTTCAAGGCTAAGTTATAAAAACCTCCTTGAAATCCACTTCAAGCAAAAATTCTTGTGCTCTCAAAAGCAGAAAAGTAAAGGAGCTTTGCAGAAGAACAGCGAGATGATTTGAGAGTTATCATTGTAAGTTTGCTTGAGAGCATGGTCGTTGAAAAATGGGAACACGCAGACAATTATCAATGTATCTGCCCCAGCCCACTTACTACCGACCCGTAGGGTCGCTAGTAAGTGGGCTGGGGCAGATACATTGATAGGTTAAATATGATAAGCAACTTATCAATTTTTACCATTGCACCTTTTGCCTACAACTGCCAAAACGGCACCCTTATCACACCTTTTATAACTAAGGGCCGCATGCATTAAGATCCCCGTCGGGGAGGGGATCGCAACTCAAAGAGAGCTTCATGTGCTGAAGCTCTAGATATCTGGATATCTAGAGCTTGGATATGTTGTCTACCTATCCGTAAGTACTCCCACCATCCTTCGCTATGAACATATTGAACCGGAGCGAGAAGCTGTACAAGCCGCATTTTCAAGCTTTCTGTATAGTTTCCCCGATGATCTCTAGCTGCCGTCTATCTTTTCTTCAAAGTCATTTTTCTTTTTTCGAAGTCAATAAAAACATTCAAAGTTGTGCTGTTTATCTAACCAACAGTGCTATTCATGTTCCTGGTAAAAATGACGTTTCGAAATTTGCGATGAACCACAAGTCGAAAGCTGGGGTTTATCGAAAAAATCGATATTCCAAAATTCATTTGTTTATATCAGCAACGTGCTTAGCATGGGTTAGATAAGCAATACAACTTTGGAATGTTTTCATTGACTCTGAAGAAAGAATGACTTCAAAGAATAGACCGTCGTCGGGGAGGATCATAGGGGATCATACGAAAAGGTGGAAAATGCGGCTTGCACAGCTTCTTGCTCTAATGTGTTTAGAGTGAAGGATGGTAGTGATACTTGCGGATAGGTTGACAGCGTGAAATTCCCATAACTAGAGCTTCAAGATGTGGAGCTTTTTTTGAAGCTGCGATCCCTCCCCGGAGGAGGTGTCAATGCATGCGGCCCTAAGAAAAATTTTTCAGCTCCAGCCGTATTGAGGACTATAAATTTGAAGATTCAAAGCAGCATCCTCTGATAGGTTAGCAAAATTTTCAAATAGTCAAGGCTCTACAACTCTTCGTACATCTTTTCAAGGACCAATCATAGTCTTGCAACTCCTATCACGTTACCGCCGCTAAAAAATTTAACTTGTTAATTTCACACAACTCAGGGGGTATCGTTAACATTCAGTTGTGTGGAATAGGCTTTAGTGTATCAAAATAAGTAGGCGTTCATGTCAGTGCTCTAGCTGTAACTTAAATTTTCTGCTTCATAAATGAGCTCTACTTCCACGTTAGACAGAAGTTTTAACGACATTGGTAACTAATGAAAGAATGGACCTACCTATAAAGGGCAAATCAGCAACGCGTCCGCTATCTAGAACCACAGGTGAATATGGACACTTGTTCTTTTTCAACTCATTTAATATGCGTAATTCACGCTGAAATCATTTTGGAATTCTTTGTAAGGACTCTCATACAATGTGCATATCCTCTTACGAAAAAAAAACCGATTTCTCTCCTCATTCAAATTGTGTACTAGTCCTAACAAGGGAAGGATACTCGGTCAAAGTGGCGTTTCCATATGAGATGTATGCTATCTTATAGGGCATAAAACGCTGACTTCGAATCTGCTCTCGGTATCTGCAAAGCGCTTACTCAGATAATCGTTGGGGGCAGGCGGCCATGCGATTTATGGGCGGGCGGGCACCGGAAAAATAGTTCGCTGATTTCTTGCAATCCGCTTGCAGATATTTGGAAGAATTTTAGCGAAATTTTAGAAGAATGCTTGAAGAACAATCGCGGTTTTCTTATGGACTGGCTGCGGCGCGTTGACCGCATTCTCGCGGACTTTCCGCGAGAATATGCAAAATTTTCGAGGGCCGCACGGTCCTTTGTGGAGGACCGCGCAGCCTCCTCAGGTAGGTTCCGCTGAGAGAAAGTACCTCAAACCAGTGGCTCAGATAATCGCCGGGGGCAAGCGGCCATGCGAATCTTGAGCAAGCGGGCACCGGAAAAATAGTTCGCTGATTTTTTGTGGTCCGCTTGCAGAAATTTGGAATAATTTTGGCCAATTTTTAGACGAACGCTCGAAGATCTATCGCGGTTTTTCTATACATAGGTTGCGGCACAGTGGCCGCATTCTCGCGGATTTTCCGCGAGAACATGGAAAATTACTGAGAGCCGCAAGGTCCTTTTTGAAGGACCGCACAACCCCCAGGTACTTTCCGCTGAAAGAAAGTACCCCAAACTTGGGTAATAAAACCATCGATGGCACCTCTGCCACATAGAGTCTCATCTTTTCTCGGCGTACGCCCGAAACTGCGTAAAAAGAGTCTGAGCTCCTGCTGAAAGTTTGGCCAGCGCTCGCTGAAAGAGATTGTTTGACGAGCGCTTGCAGAAAATTTTGTATTGATGCCCGCTTGCAGAAAACGCAAATACCGCCCGCTGAAGATTTGGCCACGCCCCGAAATCCTGCTGACCGCCTGCAGAAAAGCGCGAGTTTGCGGACCGCCTGCCCCCGGCGATTATCTGAGGGCGTACCGAGGGGGGGCAGGGGGGGGGGGCGCGCGCCCCCCCCCCCCCCGAGAATGGGTCGCGAAATTTTTGAAAGTTACTTACATGAGTTATAAAAATGTGCAAAAGACTTATTTATACTTGTAAGTAATTAAAATAATTTTTGAAAATTTTTGAAAATTCAATTTAGCCTCATAAAAAAATATTGTTCGGGGGCGTGGCTGACGCCACGCCCCCTTTTTCTGAAATTTCGGGGTCCTGAGCCCCCGAAAATTTCAGGAAGCATACCAAAAAATTTTTCGGAGTGCGTGGCTGACGCCACGCACCTTCATCGAAAAATTTTTTTTGTCGCGCCTCCCCGAGCCGAAATCCTGGGTACGCCACTGCCTCAAACTTGAGTAATTGAACCAACGGTGACACCTCTGCCAACAGAGTCTTACCTGTGCTCGACGTAAGCCCGAAACTGCGTAAAAAGAGTCCGAGCGCCTGCTGAAAGTTCGGTCACCGTTTGCTGGAAGAGATTATTTGACGAGCGCCTGCAAAAAATTCTCTGTTGCTGCCCGCTAGCAGAACATTAGACAAAGGAAGTACCGCTCGCTGAAGGTTTGGCCACGCCCCAAAATTCTGCTGACCGCTTGCAGAAAAGCGCGAGTTTGCGGACCGCCTGCCCCCGGCGATTATCTGAGTATGGGGAGGGAGTCGGAAATTTTGATGCAAAAATTTGAAAACGCCGCTACTATAAAATCATTCAGAACTTTAGTCCGTGAGCTCAGATATGTGGTCATGATCACTACCAGCTCAGATAATCGCCGGGGGCAGGCGGCCATGCGAATTTTGAGCAAGCGGGCACCGGAAAATCAGTTCGCTGATTTCTCGCGGTCCGCTTGCAGAAATTTGGAATAATTTTGGCCAATTTTTGCGTACGCTCGGAGAACTATCGCGCTCTTTCTGTGGATAGGTTGCGGCCCAGTGGCCGCATTTGTGCAAAACTGTTGCGGGCCGCACGGTCCTTTGTGAGGGACCGCACTGCCCAGGGTACCTCCCGTTGAAAGAAGGTACCCGAAACTTGAGTAATCAAACGATCGATGACACCTCTGCCATAGTCCCACCTTTTCTCGGCGTACGCCCGAAACTGCGTAAAAAGAGTCCGGGCGCCTGCTAAATGTTTGGCCAGCGCTCGCTGAAACACAATTAATTGCCGAGCGCTTGCAAAAAATGCTGTATTGCTGCCCGCTGGCAGAATATGCGAGCGTAAAGGAAGTGCCGCCCGCTGGCAGAATATGCGAGCGTAAAGGAAGTGCCGCCCGCTGAAGGTTTGGCCACGCCCCAAAATTCTGCTGACCGCCTGCAAAAAAGCGCGAGTTTGCGAACCGCCTGCCCCCGGCGATTATCTGAGAGGACGTTTTATATGATAAATAGCTTCAGTCTAACAAATCGATGCAGTCATTACTCCTTTCAAGCGACGAAAACATCTTAACACGTGTTTTTACCATAGCTAAATTATTGAACTTTTACCTCAAAGAAAGAATTCCAGAACTCCTCTCCCAAAAGCGCTTTGCGTATAATGAATGCGGATTTGGAATCAGCGTCATGCTCTATAAGATAGCTTACATTTCATATGGACATGCCACTTCGACCAAGTATCTTTCCCTTGTGAGAGTATAGACAGCGTATGGGCGAACTTCCATGTTTTGTCACCTCATAACCCTGACTCGAAATCTGAAGGCAAGTAAGTACGTTGCGTAAGTACTTCAGAAGCCCCATTTTGCTCATGTGCTTGCTAAGCTAACTCAGGGAACCTAATGATATGTAACAACAAGTAGGAGGATCGTACATTGCCAAGAGGTTACTTTTGTGTGCGTGGAAACCCCTGCAAACAAGGGTGAAGTTCTGGCAATGAAAAATTGCCTTGCATATTGATACTGTCTATTGGGTCCTCGCCTTCGCTAAAGCAAATAAATAAAAATAGAGGATTCGGCGTCTCCAATACTCTCTGCGGACATGCGCCGAACGCACACCACTTCATAGTCAAAGAGGCAATTGTATGCGTGCGAGCCTACTGCATAACTTGCGGGGGCAGGCGGTTACCAACTCAGTGCTTTTATCCTTCCAGATTACTCTAATACCAATTTACCAGCCCCGGAAGGTAGAGGGCTTGATTGGCCCAGGGGCGGGTTCAAACAGTCCGATCTGGTCATAACAGCGCCTCATACTACTACGACACTCGTCCCTAGCTAAAGCAAACACATAGGCAAAATGGGTTTTTTGATACTCACGCAAACTGCATTTCACAATTAAATCGAGATGAAGTGATAAAACACGGATGTTATGAGTATGTCACGCTGTCTTCATGATTCTTCCTGTTCCGTTAAAGTTAAGCCGCATGGCGTTCGCTTGCATCCGTCTATACATCTCAAAGCGTCGCTTCTCTCGCAACCGTTACTTTCATACAACTTTCACACTATACGTGTTGCACGCATCCTCATCCCCTCCATGGAAAGGTAAGATGTACTTTTTCGAGGCTTGTTCCCCATATTGGTTTACACAGCAAGGATCACGGGGAAATGGGAGCCAAGAAACAATATACGAGGAAATTCAAAGGAAGAAAACCTTACAAAGACGGTTTTCATGATTTCGCTTTTGTTGTGCGCTAATATGAATAGAATCACATAAAATTTGTCCCAATTAAGATCAGGCCGCAACGTTCGAATCGTTGGCACGAAGTCGCACTTGCAACGCCGAGAGTTTATGCTGCATACGGGTCGTCAAGCATGGTGCAGAGATGGTAGAGAATGATGGGACAAACAGGCCCTGAACAACCACCTACTGCAAGTTGTGGCGCAGGACAATACGTTGTAAACGCCCATCATGTGAATTTCCGCCTAGTGCAAATTGGGACAGACTATTAATAGGTCTAGAAGGGCAAGACCAGAGCCATTGCAGCCGCATTGTACTCAGACACAGGGGTGCCAAAATACACGGAAGGCGGTCTGATTCATGGTCTCCAGCGTCAATCTAATAATTTGCTTAGTACTCCTCGCACGCGGATAAGTCTTTCCTGCACCTATCCCTTGCTTACGCTGGGTTCATGGGTGTAGGACGATTCGCACGACCGTAATGCTTTCCACACAGGATCATCGCCGCGCGCGACACACCCTGCGGCGGCTTTTGCCTAAGCAAAACAGGGGGAGGAAAGGTTTGCGGCGTGCATTACATGTTTAGACAAGTCAAAATCAGGGAGACGCTGGAGACCGCCCGTGCGAAAAGACCGTCTCCCTGGGTTCATATACTGGTGCGGAAGTTCCGTAAGAGTTCTGGCACAGTTTCCGCACTCTATTTCCCGGAAATGTGCTGCATGCGCTGCAGCCGTCCGCATGCGGTTTTGAGCGGCGCAAATCAGCAATTTTCGACTATCTTGAAAGGTGATTGCATATCTTGCCCATTTTCGTCTCGTTTTTGCACCTCGCTTCTTCTTGTGAAGAAGACAATTCCGAAATTGAAGCGAGGTTCAAAAATGAAGCTTTCCATGTGCTTCGCGCGTCAGCTTTTTTTTATTACGAGCTGTCTTCAGGAAAGACTGATATTATCTCCACGTGTTCTCTTCTTTGAACCTGGGCATGTTCTTTTCAATCGTTATATAAGATTTTCTTTATGCCGAAACCAGGTTGATTGGTGGAACCTTATTGACTCAACGTTTCGAACAATTCGTCTTCGTCGGAGTCTGAAAAGGATCGTAGCATTTGCATTCGTATTTCACTACACCGCCAAACGTCTCGTCAACGCTGCACGTCTAGACCTCCCCTAGTGCAATGTACTGGAAAGCTAAACCAGAGTGTTCACCTTCAGTCCACCATAAGACCAGTAGCCCGCACAACTGTGACGGACGCAACTGAGTTCATACTCAGTGTGGCAAACTATATATTGTGTGCGGATGATGACCTTTGAGCATTAGAATTGAAGAACACTTGGCTAGTATGAAACGAGGAACTCAAGCATCACCTTTAGGCAAACATAGATTTGAAGCGCACGATGGCACCTCATTCGACGTGAAATGTATAACACTGGATTTTGAGAATGAGATTGGCGCACGGAAAACACTAGAAGCAGCATGGATATTTTCAAGAGTCCTGCTATGAATAATAAAAATGAATGTCTTGTTACGAATGATCTCTTGCCTCTGCTATCATTATGCAAGCTCACATCCGCACACAATATATAGTTTGACACACTGAGTATAAACTCAGTTGCGTCCGTCACAGTTGTGCGGGCTACTGGTCTTATGGTGGACTGAAGGTGAACACTCTGGTTTAGCTTTCCAGTACGTTGCACTAGGGGAGGTCTAGACGTGCAGCGTTGACGAGACGTTTGGCGGTGTAGTGAAATAGGAATGCGAATGCTACGATCCTTTTCAGACTGCGACGAAGACGAATTGTTCGAAACGTTGAGTCAATAAAGTTCCACCAACCTGGTTTCGGCATAAAGAAAATCTTTTATACTGATAATATCATTACAATTGCGGAAACCGCAAATTTTTCTCATGTTTTGTTGAGATTGGTTCTTGGGCCCTTCAACCTCTTTTCTTTTCACAACTCATACTGCTTGTTCGTTCGTTCTTGATTACCGTTCCGTTACTGATGAACGAACTCCAAACTTGGAGCAATGTGCACGTATGGAAGCGGTGCCTGCTTGTAACAGTTTTCAGCTTGATGTACATAAGAAAATAGCGTTAATTCTTGTACCCCTCTCCAAGCTTGGAACTTTTCACATCGCGAGAGCAACAAGGTACAAGAATGAGGCGGGATTTAACAAGATATATCATGAAACCGTTAAAGAAAGTTAGAAACTGCTACTTCGCGTCGCTCAAAACCGCATGCGGGCGGCTGCAGCACACACCGCAAACGCTGGAACTGTTAGGCAAAAGCCGCCGCAGGGTGTGTCGCCCGCGGTCCTGTGTGGAAAGTCTTACGGTCGTGCGACTTGCCTCACATCCAAAATGTATCTATCAGATTGTGGATGTGAATAGAATGTTTTCGTAATTGGGGTTTCCATTCCTAGCAAAAAGGTTTGATCTTAGGGTTGGGCCAGACTGCGCGGCGTACGCGACGTACGCAGCGTACGCCGCGTATGCTCCTATGATGAAATATACCGAGCGTACGCTGCGTACGCCGCGTACGCCGCTTCCCCGCGAAGTCTGGCTCAACCCTTACAAATTCATGGATTAGTGTTCCTTATCTTTGCAGTAAGTCATGGAACGCGACAGAAGCCTACTGAAAGAATGAGAGACATGTTATAGTGTCACGGCAGCTTCATTTTATGTCAGCTATAAACATAAACTTTTTGGTTTCGATCTCAAGGTTTGAAATGAACCTGGATTATGATTAAGTACGGACTTATAAGTGGTTGAGGCATGACAATTTGCATGGCATCTAGAGCTGCGCGAGGCATGCCTAAGGTTTGAAAAAACATTTTCTTGTACCATTAGTGCACTGCCATCACAGCGTACTTCACAGCAATGGATGCTGATGTAACCATTACTGTAAGATTCTCTACTTGAATTACAATTTGTTTGAAGTCAGAAGTTTACTATAAAGCAGTCTTGAGCCCCCAAAGGTGCTGCAAATACCTGAGAAACTGACTAAATCTCAACCACAAAATGCCTTGACTGAACGAGCCGTGGCGGGCCAAAAGGAAAAGTTTTCAATTTTCATTGCCAGTGCATATTCGTTCGATAACCATATCTTTCCCCATGCCCCATGCATCTCACGTAACCTCAATAAACAACTTCATTTCTTGTTCAGGATAGGAGACTATGAAGAAAAGATTACTCTCCATCAAGCTCCTTTTGTGTGGAAAATAGGTATGGACTGTACGTGGTTTTGCACGTACAATTTAGCAGTCAACCGTTAGGCAGAACTTGCTGACGGAAGGATGTCCTACCTCTGGCCCAAAAGACTGATGGCTTTTGGGTCTAAAACCACATGAAGAACTCACCTTCATCCTCAATACGATGTTTACACTATACGGTCTTATGCTAGTTTTCATTGCGAATAAAGTATTCTTTTCAACAGTTTCGTTGCTGTAAAGAGAATGTTCAATGAAGATTATATATACATATACTATGTATTCTTTCAGCTTGATAGGGCTCTGTAATCAGAAGATATGCATTTTTGATAAGACTCAAGTCTTGATGTTCGTGAATCTGGGCACAGTTTTGAACGTGTAATACTCTTCTTTAGCCGTACCAAGCTTGTTAGAAACTTCTACTACTTAAGGTCAGTATGACAGTGCAGACTGGTTTTAGCTAGTTAGCTCAAGCTCAACTCGACTCGAAGGCTGCCGTGGCTCCGACAAAATTGAGGTTACCGAAACTTTAGCCCACGTAGTAAAGATTTCTAGCATCTTGATTCAGCTAAAGAAGACAATCACAAGCTGCAGTGACTTCAATCACTTCGCTTAAATATGTTCTTCAAATTGAAACCGAGTGACTTTGCGTACTAGTATGATTACTAGATTTTCTGCTAGTAGGAACAAGCACAATGAGCGACATCAGCGTTGTCTTGGCAAAAGAAGGTGCACCACTGGGGTAAAAGCCCTATAAAGCGCAGAGCGATTTTGAAAGCAATCATTTGCTCTTGTCTGTTTTGTTTTCTTCTTGAGCTTCAAAGTGGTAACCAGTCTGACCGTGCGCGGGTCTCAAATAAATGCGTGCATAAACGCGTGACTTCCGTAAATTGTTGCAAAAGCATCAAGTCGTTCAGGCCAAACGTGCTTACGCCCACAGGTGCGATAAGGTGAGAATGACTCCTCCAGGGTGAAGGGCGTCACAGTGGTCGCAGTCCTTCCAGGGTGAAGGGTGTTTCAGTTGATCGAGAAATGATAAAATGCCGACCGGGGGGGGGGGGGAAGGGGAGAAGGCGATGGTGTTTTCTTATGGTGTTTTCTTATTTTCCAAATCAAAGTTTATCATTTTCTATCATAACTGGTTGTCTTTTTACCAAAATGTGAAGACTGATAGGATTGGAACAACCCTATATGTTTTTAAAAATACCATAGAAGATGTGTACACGAGAACATCTGTTTCGGGAAAGAGGTAGACATTTATTAAGCATTTACGAATTTTCAAAAGAAGAAATTCGTAACTTCTGTAGATGAACAGCAACGTCAGCATTGAAAAGGTTTTTATAACCATCTTGTCCTCCGCTTTCAGAAAATATATTAGGTCGTTCCGGAAGTAATGTCGCTTTTTGCAAACGTACGCCACATCTCGTAAGACAAAGATACGTAAGAGATTCTGGTAGCATCTGATGCAGCATTTCATTCTCTTTCTAATGGTTATATAAATACCGCACAAAATTGAGCAACCTCTGAAAAAATTGCCAAAATCTGCGACCCACGCTTTTTGAAAAGGTCAAGTTTCACAATTTTTCTAAATTTTTACAACAATCCCTGGAAGGAGTCCAAGTAATGTGTGGATAGAGCAAACCCTACAGAAAACAGCACAACTCTTTTCTACTTTCCAGAGCCTGTCACAATTTTTGTGCAGATTTTTTGATGGAACCACCGAATTTTAGCAGACTCGTCTCAGACACAAATGCATCAAACACCAAGAAATCTTCGGATTTTGAAACTTACAAAGATGGATTATGGTTTTACATTAATTTTACAAAGCAAATGAGCATTTGCCGCTTCAGATTAGCCACTTTCGAAAATTCCGTGTACAGCATGGGGCGCCTTGGAAAACCGGAATTATGATGATTTTATCTCGGAAAACTTGATGAATCGGAAGCCAAAAACAACTGATAAAAAGAGGAGAGAATGCTGCGTCGAATGACACCCGAGTTGCTTGCCGGTTGTTGTTCTGTGAGGTTTGAGTTGACCAAATATGGAATTTGATGGCATTTTAAAATTGATTCCAGAAACTCTAAGAAGCAAGCTAAGGAAAAGAAAAAAATTACTTTGTGTCCTATATGGTTTGCTCTATTTACCTGTCACTTGTACTTCTTCGGAGATTAAATACAAAAATTTAGAAAAATAGCCGAACTTGACCATGGCAAAAACATGAGTCGCAGATTTTGTTAATTTTTCGAGAGATCAATGAAAATTATGCATTGAAATTACAACCATTAGAAAGAGGACGAAATGCTGCATCGAATGCTTCTAACAACTTCTGTAAGATCTCTTGAAGATCTTGATTCCATGAAATGTGGCGTTCATTTATAAAAAGCGACATTACTTTCGGAACGACCTAATATAGAACGTCTGATATCCATTCAAGAAAGTGCAGTGAACGGTTTGCCCAGTGATTTTTGGGGATTTTTGATTTTTTAACATAAAAAACTCATAACTTCTGCTGATGTACATTTTGTACACCGCGATGGTCACCATTGGAACCGTCTCGTCCTCCGCTTTTAGAAAATATATACTTTGCCTAGGGTTCGTTAAAAAAAGTGCCGGGTGAAGGGTGTCCTAGTAATCGCTGGAGATTTTCAAGTTTTTAAAATAAAAAATTCATAACTTCTGTAGATGAACATCTTGTACGCCGAGATGGTCACCATTGGAACCGTCTCGTCCTCCGCTTTCAGAAAATATATACTTTGCCTAGGGTTCGTTAAAAAAAGTGCCGGGTGAAGGGTGGGTGAAACTTTTATAATGGGAGTGCTCAAGTACAGGCTTTTTTACCATTGTAAAAAGACGTCTACTTGAGCACTCCCATTATAAAAGTCTCACCACCCTTCACCCGGCACTTTTTCTAACGAACCCCAGGCAAAGCATATATTTTCTGAAAGCGGAGGACGAGGCGCTTCTAAAAGTGACCATCTCGGCGTACAAGATGTTCATCAACAGAAGTTATGAATTGTTCTACGTTAAAAACTCGAAAATCTCCAAAAATCACTATGACACCCTTCACCCAGGCACTTTTTTCAACGGACCCCAGACATAGTATATATTTTCTGAAAGTGGAGGACGAGACGGTTCCAATGGCCACCACAGCGGCGTACAATATGTTCATTCGCAGAAGTTATGAATTTTTTTATGTTAAAAAATCAAAAATCCCCAAAAATCACTAGGCAAACCGTTCACTGCACTTTCTTGAATGGATATCAGACGTTCTACATATTTTCTGAAAGCGGAGGATGAGACGGTTCCAATGGTGACCATCGAGGCGTACAAGACGTTCAAGTACAGAAGTTATGAATTTTTTTATGTTAAAAACTCGAAAATCTCCAGAAATCATTACTCACACCCGTCACCAAGCCCTTTTTTCAACAGACTCCTCCTTTCCTATACATAAACAATTCACGCACAAATATCTTCTTTGCTTAACCTTACCTCACTGTTGATTATTTTTCTCGGCTTTTGGTGAAGGGGGTCACCTTGGTCCCAGCTCAGGGGTGAAGGGAGGGTGAGAAAATTCTCACACTATCGCACCTGTGCTTACGCCCATTACAAAAGGGTCATTGCATTGCGAGATCGCGCAGCGACTGGAATCGCGTGAGATGCTTCAAGGGCCGGGTATAGATCAAGCGTCATCGCTTCGCTATTCACCCAACAGGACTGCTACAATCTCATTGCATTCAGATCGTCTTGCATTTCCGCTGTGATACTTTTCCGACACGATTTAACGCGACTAATTATCACAACCGAAATGCAAGATGATCAGCATGCAATGAATACGTATCGTCGAGTCATGTAACTTAATATACGTAGTGCACACTATACACGCTAATTGACGAACTGCAAAACTAGAACCTGCTCATTTCCAGTGATTGCTCCTTGTCCTGTTTCTTTTCTTTTTGTTGGTTAATGTCAGTCAGAAGAACACATTTCTACACTTTGTTAAGCTAGAAAATGTCTTAGTGGAAAGTTACTAGTATGGGTGCCGTTGTTAATAGGGCTCAGTGTGCAATCTTACATACTAAGTTACAAATGACTCGAGGTTAACAGTTGTCTCGTTGGGAGAGTCGCGGGGCAATAAAATCGCGTTTTTTCATGCCCGGTCCTTTAGGCCTATGCAAATTGGAGTTCACCTTCGTGTTTGAAGGCAGCGTCCAAGCAAATCTGGACCCATAGGGATTTTACGTGGAAAGTACTTTTGGGGCCCTAACTAAGGCACTGCCCAACCGGCAGCTCAAGTAATGCTCTAACGGCTGAGATATTCCCCTCGAAACTGGACCCCGCGATCGTATTCGCATGGATTCATGGCATTTCGCGCCAGGATCCACGCTTTGCGCCATGAGTCCGTGCGAAATACGATCGCGGGGTCCACTTTCGAGAGGAATATCTCAGTCGTTAGAGCACTACCTGAGCTGCCGGTTGAGCAGTGGCTTAGTTAGGGTTGGGCCGGACTGCGCGGCGTACGCGACGTACGCAGCGTACGCCGCGTATGCTCCTATGATGAAATATACCGAGCGTACGCTGCGTACGCCGCGTACGCCGCTTCCCCGCGAAGTCTGGCTCAACCCTTAGGGCCCCAAAATTACTATCCACGTAAGATCTCCGTGTGCCCAGACTTGCCTGAACGCTGCCTTCAAGAATTTAGAACTAAGCTAACTCCGGTAAATTGTGCGCCTACTGTCTAGGCAGGCATCGCATGCTCCGTGCGTTATTTCACAAGCGGCGCATTTGGAGTGTAAGGCAATGAAATTAGCTTGTTTCCATCAAAGAAACAAGCTTATGAATCAAATACAGATTATAGATTGTATACCGAAGACATGATTTTGGGAAGTTTCATGTGAAAAATCTTAGAAATATATGCGACATAATGAATTCCCCAAATTAGTCCTCCTTCAGGATTCCAACAGGAGGACTGAGTCTATCTGGAGTATATGATCCGTGGTAAATCCCCATTCATCTCAGTTGAACTAAGATGAATCATTCAGAAGAACTTCCTAGGGTGAACCTAGAACTGCCCACCTTTCTATGCTCTAGGACAGTCAGTTGAACAGTTAGAAGATTGCCGGCTAAGTGCCACGGTCAGTTCATAGAATGCCATTCAACCGAGTGCAGGTTCTATGGTGAACCGAGGAAGATAGACAAAACTCCCATCCCATCAAATTGCTTGAGTAGCTTACGGAATGATTCGTATTGTTGCGATGCAAAACTCCCAAGATTGCACAGTTTCGGGAATATAAATGGGAGAGGATCAATGAACAAGTGATTGCGGCGAGAAAAGCGAGGAAACGTTTCTTTTTTTTCGGAGTTTGCTTACGTTAGGTGAAGATTACTTGCATGCAATTATCTAGATTGTTTGTGCCAGTGCTTTGCAATCGCCCGTCCGTACTCGTTAGCTGATCCTCTGAGCGTACTGCGCTAACGGCGTGGTACTAAGAGTTGGTACGAGATGATGGCCAGTGGTTATGATTGATTGTTGCCATTAGTGGCGATCCACAGCTACCAAACTGGCAATGCTATTCGGTATTATCGGAGGTGAATCAAAACAGAAGCAAGAGCCTTGCCCTATATCACAGACAAGGCCAATTCAAAACCCAACAACCTCCAGAATTTTTTTTATGTTGATAGAAAGTTCACATTAATTGTGCCTAATCATTAGTAGCTAATCACCTACGCTATCTGCATGCCTCAACTCCCTCCTCCTCCTACTTTTGCTAATAAATTTTGAATTAGGATTTCGATTCGATATAAATTCCCTCAAAGCTCTAAGTTTTCATATAAATGCTTGGCAGCATATCGAAAGGGCCAACGTGCACCCATACCGCAACCCTCATACATACCTTGCAAAGCTTTTGACATAGGCCATGGTTTAGCAACTAACGATTACCATGCGGGAACTACGTCATATGCGTTAGACTGGCTAACGACCGCCCATTCTTAATGCTGGGTACGGACGATCCTAAGAACGAAAGCGCGAAATCTTCATTTCCGTTGTTTGGCGGATATGCTCCTTTAGCAACATCGGCAAAGCGGCAACAGTGTTGATGGACTTTTGAGGCATTGCAAATTTATTCGTTGCGCATGACTTGAACTTCCGAGCTCCCCAACATCACACAGACCCCCCACGCCACTCCACCACCTCGGTTTTATTCTGTCCATAAAGGCTACTGGAGCATATCACCATGACTGGAGGATAGGGTATGGATTTTCCGATCAATGGCTGGACGGATGCTGGATTGAGCGCCACGAAAACTACTCAGGTCCGCCTCAAGAGAGATACCCCAGCGGGGCTTTGCTACGGACTTATCTCTTTGTATACTTGTGAACTCTGTAGAAAAATCAATTGGCGACGAACTTGGCACAAATTTGCCGCGATATTAAATAAAGAGCCGTGTACCGTCCTTCATTGTACTTCAGCTGCACTTCGTAACGATTAAATTTTCTATCTTCCTCATCCAAGCTGTAAAGCAACTTTGAATTATATATTCAATTCTTGATAATTGATCGCTGATTTGAACATACTTATCATCTGTGACAATAAGATCGCCGGTTTGTAGGTCGCTCTTTTTTCTAATAAACATATCCATCAGAGTGGCTTCGTGCTTCTGCAACGAAATTTGAAGACAACTAAAAACCCAACTTTTGGAGCAAACGCTAAGATGTTTTCTAGAGCAAAGGAAAGTTTAATGAAGTTTTAAAAGCTATAGAAAATCATTTGCAGTCGATTATGCTGTCCACTCGACAATGTATAAGCCCCGTAAAATCTAATGCCCACCCGTCGCTTTGAACACCAACTCGCAGCGCGGCTGGAAACGTTTGGTCCCGAAGCGCTACAAACAAACTTTTTGCGAGCGACAATGAGCGCACGCCCTTTCCAGACATATTTTTTTTAACTTTTGAGAGGAGGTTCGTCAAGATATACCTTGCATTAACGAGAACAACATGAAAGTTAAAGAAACATTTCTTGAAATACAGTGAACGCCGCAGTCGTTCGCGACGACCGCTTGCTTACGCTAGTGTTCAAGGCACGGCGCGAGCAATTAGGTTTTACGGCGCCTATAGGTACTGAACTTTTTTGATTCTTTTGCATTGGTTTGAACTGCACATAATTAGTTCTAACATTTTTCTGTTTGCTATTACGAAAGAGCTTCTATTCAGACTTGGCATATTCAATTTGTTGACGCCTATGTTCGAGACATGATCACCCACTCCAACCGAAGGGTAGAGGCGTCGTCCAAGAACGCGTCGCAAAATTTTTTACAGTTACCTACATTGGTTATGGAAACCTGAAAACTATAACTATTAAAGGAATTTTTCAAATTACTTTAAAGCTTGATAAGCTGTCGAAATTCCGGAAAGCATCTCGAAACATTTTTCTGGGTGACGCGATCCATTATGAAACAGTGAAACTAATTTTTCCTAGCTTGAAACTTTGAATTAAGAGATTGGCAATTCGAACAAGAAAAAATTTCTAGGGATAAGTGCAACTCGGATAGGTCATTGTTATTCCTTGGTAGCAATCAAGGCTTTTATATGAATGTTAATATGCCACAGAATCTAGGTACATATCGTATCTTCAAGCAAGAATCCTCGCGAACTTCTAGGTCGAGTCATATAGGAATAGCTGTTCGCTCATATCTCTACTTGCACAAGTAGCATTTCTCTCAGTTTCTATCCAGGTGATTGTATAGCTTGCACAACCACCCATCGCCATTTTTTAGCTATACAGACAAACATTATGCGTTTTGATTTAATTTAACGTCTTTGTGACAACGCAATCAAATTGAGATAGCCAGATTAGTTTGAAAAAGTTTTACCTCAAGGTTGATCTTGCCGTTGACATCCGCTAAATCGGGTCTCTCCTCTTCGAGAATGCGAACACTATACCATGGTGGCTGGCGACGGCCTTTAACGATTGCACCCGGCATAACCTAGGCGTAGAATAACAATTTCATTCGTACATGAAAAGCGCAACGTCATGCAGTCCGTCTCTGTACGCTTGCACAGATTCATAAAGGAAAACTAGCGCTATCCTCTATAGCACTCCTTCAGGCAAAAGGCAGCGCCAGGTTTGAAAATCAGTTTGGTTTAGTTTAACTGCTTAGATCTCAACACTGCAACCGAAAAGAACATATCAAGTAATTGAATATATGCCACCCCCAAATGCGCTTTTTTGATTTTTGAAAAGTTCTAGATTTGTCAGACGATAAGAAGGGGGTTTGGAGGAGGAGGATACGATCTCAGTTTTGGACATCAGACTTCACCTTGCCTATCTATCTTCAAGTTTACTCATAATTGACTAGAGACACATCGCGCAAAAGCGTGAATATTATTGGGCAGGCGTTTTTCAATTGATTCGAAGATTAGTGTAGCCAGGATTACGAAATCATATAAAGAGTAAGAACTCGAGGTTTACAAGGCATACATTTTGCAACATGTCTATAGCAATAAATTGTAAAGTTACTTGAAGGTAGAGAAACAATGTGAAAGTTAGTTCAAAACATCAAAACATACAGTGACCGCCAAAAAGTTGCGGACAAGCCGCCTTCCCCCCTTTTTTTTGAATGGACAACAAAGATGATTGAAATAATGATTTGATTGTTTATGATGATAGAGCTTTTTAAGAGCTAAAACTCATATTTTACACTTTTTGGAAAATATGCATTGCAAAAAGTTTCAAAATACCTTTTGTTACGAAGGTCCGAGAATGACCGCGTCATAATATCGCGGACAACAACCCGAACGCAGTTCCTTTGGGTTCTTCTGATGCGAAAAAACCAGTAATCCGAATGGGTAAGCACACTCTCAGAAAGAACTTGTCAAAGACTTATTCTGCTTATGGTTACTTCCTTAAACGTAAGCTTGAATTCTATCTTGCATTTTTTAGAGTTTTGAGTTCAAAATTCCCTCCTTCAAACGGAATTTCTTCATATGAAAACCGATACATCATAACAAAGCTTTCTGCACAAATTGGATCGCTCTTTACCATGCTCTATGCATCGGACGTGTGCTGGTATGTTTCTTTGCTGAAAATGGCTCCAGGTAATGCGCGTGTAACCTCACCTGCACCATGCCATTGACTACTACCTTGCAGACTAGCAGCTCGGCCTGTGGTCAATTTTCTGAGCCTGCAAGTAGGCTCTCTTGAAAGAGCGAGAATTCCTTGACACAATGATATGCCAAAATGATAAATGTAAGAAATCCTAGAAGTTTTGAGAATGGGTTGAAAAAGCGCAGCTACACTGGTGACTAGAGTAACAGCTTCTACGCTAAAAAACCCGCAAAACTTCGAAATTGAACCATTACAAGAAAATTGTCGCTTTCGAATACCCAGAACGAAAGTAACGAAAACAGCATTGCATAACCTTAGTTGAGGGCTTTAGACTGCTGCTTATGCTCCCTAAAAAACCCGTTTTCACAACTGCAAAACTTCTAGGATTTCTGACCACCACCTTGACACTTTGAAGAAATTTAGCTTGAAAAAGGGACTTAGAAGTCACTTTCTAAAAAAGTCACAATGGTAATTAAGCTTGTGTTTTTCTAGAAATTAACCATAACCAGCGAGCTCTACATGAAAAAAAAAACCCCCCAACGAATATTTCCACGTTCAGAGAATTGTTGGCCACGTTATTGCATTTCCGGACCTTTTTGATAAAGGATGTAGCAAAAATTTTTGAAATGCATATCTTCCAAAAGTGTGACATGTGGGTTGTGGTCCGCAACTTCTGGCGGTCACTGTAAATATTTCTTCTGAGCTCCGCTCCTCTTCTGGTCGATGAAAGTTCGTGCAATTTGGGGCAACCTTTTCTTTGGCCCCGATAAAGTTCATGTATCCTCACATGTTTTGCTACTTACAAACACGCTAAAAAAATGCGCACTGGAGTGCAAGAATCTCTGACGTCTTTTGTCATTCAGTTGAAACAGTAGTAATGGAACGCTCAACTTAATCTGCGTTTGTACTTTAGTCCTGAGTAAATCCAGTTCGACTTACAATCTGCTTAGCAGCGATTGGCAGATACTTCACCTTTGTTTTCTCCGAAACTGGTGACTCGGAAGATGATGAATCCGACTGAAAATCCATCAATTGCCTCTGCACGTACAGAACAAATACGTTAATCTATATATAAATAAAACCGAATCTCTGTAAATTTGTTCATTTGTAAGTATGTGGCTTATAGACTCTTTTGTGTGTGAACTGGGGCTAAAATTTGTCCCCCTATAAATAAGGCACGGCGCAGAAGATAGGCTACTTTTTGCGATGATTTGTTGGGCCCTTCAATCGATTTATTGATTTGTTTACTTACATCGAGAGTTCACCAACCACTGTTGGATAATTCCTCCAGAGTCATGTAGGTTGGGCGGTGAAGTTCATTTACATTTTTCGGCGAAAAAGATCCGGTGTTTCAAGTCAGCAAGGAAGACATCACATTTCGTCGCAGATATGAAGAAGGACGGTAAGTTTTAATGCGTTTGGGATCGAGTAGCCCAAATCCCGGGCGGGACCGGGGACGCTATCTAGTGTTTATATGTGTGTGTTGTTGGGGGGGGGGAGGGTACAATGTTTCAGACCTGTTAGCGGTGCATAAAGAAAGGTTCATTTTTGTATCATTTTTAGCGTACACTCGACTGGGAAATTCGGAGCAACCGTACCACCACGTCAGTGTACTAATAAGTTGTATAGTCATTACGTGACCGTTACGTATTGTTCTTATAAAAATTACATAACCAAAATACGCCTATGCTTTGAAAAAACTATTCTACCAATATGTGCCTTTAACCAAAAAATTGTCATTTTTCCAATGCGCCACAAAAATGTTATGCCGAGCACAGTGGTTCAAAGACTGCGGATATGAAGATTAGGCAGCAAATAGCATTTTTCCAACAATAAGGGGCAATTGGACGGTCAATGCCGCATTATTGCAGCGAGTGGATTTCCACTCTATGACTTCTGAGGCTCGTCGTTTTCCACTGTAACAATTCCCTTTTAAAAAAAGCTACTTCAACATGCCCTTACAAGCACGAAGGTAGATGTTGAAAGAACAGTACTGCGAGCCTCGTTGTCTCTGCATCACATTAGGATACAAAGAATTCGATGAGAAGGGATAGGGCAGGTGCTTCACGAGTGCCTCGCCAGAATCTTATAATCCTTTAGTCTCTCCTATTCTGTATTTACTTACTAGAAAAGGATCCCAAATCGAGTGGCGATTCGGAGCAAAATGCATATCACTAAATCATTTTGTTAGAGATAAATTTGAATCTGTCCTCCGTGTCTGCTGCGGAAATCTCTGGAAGAATTTATGAACGTTCAAAGGCCCAAGCATGGCCAACGTTTAGTGGTCTGCCTTTCAAGAATTAGATTTTCAAAAACACTTATTTATGCTGGTCAATGTGTGCATTGCTTGTAGTCAGCACACTCGCATCTTTTCAATTATGCACTCTCAAACGAATTTATATGCGCATCATGCATTAGGACATCAATGACACGATTTCAACCGCTCATAACTTATTCCAGAGAATCCCGCAGAAGATACAGAAGGTAGATCTGGAATCAGCTCATCAGGCGCAATCAACGATATGTATTTCCTTCCATTTCTCCTACGCGATTTGGGATCCTTCCTTTGTCAGGCTCACATAAAGTAATTAGAAATAATAAAAACTCCACTCTTCAATTGCTAAAGCAGTGCCGTACTCCTCTAATGCATTTTATGCCGCAAAGAGAGGAGGGCTCACCTGATAAGACATATTGAGATGCGGCTAGAATGACCGGGCCGTTTGAGAAGCCAGTAGGGATTTGCTTACATAAATCTCCACCTTTTCCAAAACTTTTTTTACCATTCTAATTTCTACGTCTACGAAGAGAAACGATTTAAGAATGCTGTTGTTTCTTTTTGCTTTACATATATTTATTACCGCTTATCCATCAGTGTTCGAAAATTGCATCCTTTGATTAACTTTGAGGTACTAAAGAAAGTTGCGTGTGTTGCAGTCTTGCATGAGTTTCTTTCGAAATGAACTTAGTGGTTTCCACTATTTATTTCTCTCCTAGTGCGTAGATTTGCTCTACTGCTCATGAGTGAGGTGAGAAGCATCAAGCAGGGCGCTCAATGAGGGTGCGCCGCTAAAGTACCTAGGGAAACTGACCGGGGTCCACATTCTAAATTCTTATAACAGTATTCTGAATTATCGCGTAAGTGCGGATTCAAAATCGTCCACAGTAAAAAAAAATTTTCTACTACAAATTAAAAACAAAAACATGTTAAGAAGCAGACAACTCGGCAGGGCGTAGTATCAGTATTATTATTATTATCATCCCAATCTAATGAGTACAAGGCGCAGAGTATCAAATAGACCAGACTAAACACCAGATCAATTCAGAAACTCTCTATTGTGCTGCGCGGTACCTAAAAAATCTGCCAGCAATCCTTTCGCGAGGCCTAACAAAGCGGCTGATCTGCTCGCATAAAAAAGAGGAAAAGAAAAGCTGCGCCTTGTACTCGTGAACTTACGATAGTTGCTGCGTCAGGCACTACCTTGCTAGTTTCAATAAACAAGATTGAATAAGGGAAGAGAAAAGTTTCGGAGCAATTTTCTTCAACCAAGCTATATTGTGCAGCTGCATTTGGACGGAAGCCACTAAAGAACCTTATCGATAGAACGTGGTCTCGCCACTCCAGGGCGGTATATATCATACTCCCAAATGGAAAGGGGTTCCTGTACAGGTCACAGCCCGTATAAGCGAGGGCACGCGCCCGCGATACACGAAGTCAAGCTGGTGATGGGGCTCCTGTCTGTTTAAAAATATGGTCCGATCTGGCAAGCGTGGCCATGTTGGGTGCGGCAGGTGCTCGACCGTGCCTGATCGACAGGTCGGGCCATGCGTCCCAAACTTTCATAAGTCACGGGATGGCGCTTTCTCCTGTCCGGGCACTCGTTAATATTGATGCAAAGAGCGAGTGGGTGATCGATAAAGACCACCCCTGGTTTCCGCGAAGCGATGTAATTACAAGATTAAGAACAAATTCGTACCGAGTGTTGGAGTAAAGAAAAAACAATTACGAATAATTTGTTGAAATGTATAGCCATCACACTGCATAGCAGACAGCTACAGTATGAATGTCGTTTCCGTGCAAAAGTGTCATATAGTAGCGGCACTTACCATCGTGACGATTTAGCTAAAGGATATACGAAGCCGGATTTCTTGGTTTGTGTAGCAGAAATGAGTGTGATTTATTTGACCTACCATTTGCTTATCTGAATTTCAAGAAATGTTATCATCCTATTGATTCAACTAACTGAATGATTTATGCTTTATTGGATGGTGCAAATGAAATGTTTGGCCGCTTACTATTAGCAGGGAATAATTGAGAGCATGAGCATTGTGCAGTGAGTGTGGCAAAAACGTGACAAGTTTTACAAGGAAATGAAATTAAGATATAGGCAAACACCGGCAAATTTGAAAGCAATAGACCGCGTTAGCCCTATTGCAGTGTTTGGACAAATCTGTGCACATAGGACTTTCAGGCGAAAACTGTTCGGGGAGCCTAAACTAGATGACTTCACTTACGCTGCAGCGTAAGTGAACCAACTAAGGCCGAAATTCATCTTTTTTCTCAGATATAATATGTGATCATTGAATCCATACCTTCTATACATAGATCAAGTCTATGGGTCCGTGGTAAACCCCCTATGTCGTAATGTAAAGAAAGCGAGCTCGCGATGTGTCCGACTGAAGGAAAGCTGCTCACGACACACCTTAGTCTTAGTCGCCGCAAAACTTGGGCGCGCACGCGCAGTCAAACCCTTCAATGGCCCTCGACGGCGCGCACTGCCACTGTGCTACTGATCTATCTTCAAAGCTAAAACCTAGCAAACAAAGATGCGACAGACAGAACAGACCCTTGCTGCTTAAAAGCAAATCGATAGGCAAGCTTTTATGTGTATTGGCGTTTGTGTAAGTTGTAGATTAGACACCTTCGCCTTGTCATTATGCCATATTGACGGTTTTTTAGCAGAGATGCGCATAGCGCAGCGTCATTGTAAGGCGGCGCTGAGCCAACGGAGGGGGGTACGAGTGCCATGTGGGAAAATCTTTTGCAACTTCTAGCTAGTTATTTTTATGTAAATGAACAAAATTTCAAATGTTTTGGTAGGGGAAAATTGCAATGCAAAAAATAAATTATTGACAATACACGAGAAAATTGGAATATTGTAAAAAACATACTTTGGTTGGTGCAAGCATAAGCTATTTCATTAGCCATAACGCCAGACGGTTCTCTCCCTCAAGATAGAAGCACCGGAAAGAAAAGCTAGTGAATAGCAATTCAGCATATAAACATTATAAGAGGTTAAGATGGAAGAAGTAAGGGGATTAAGGCATGCAGAAGGAAATTTTGGTGCGTAAATGAGTTGCGATGTGAGGATATAGAAAAATAGTTCAGACACGACAAGATATGAATAAGTAGAATTCTGATGTAGATTTTAATCAAAATAAACTCATCCCTTTCCAATTACAAAATATATAACAGCAGAAATGCTTGAAAAACAGAAAAAATCGGTCATCGTGTTGACATTTGGCCGCTTATCAGCTGTTGATATCGATTGCATTTGGCGTGCGCTAAACCTAGTGCCTGTGTCTACGGTCCTTGTGCACAGGACGAGCACGGCGTAGTCGAACCCCTAGTCGGTACGCTAGTCCCTATTTTTATTTCTCTGCCTCTTAGGTGACGACGTTCACGACGTGCTCGCTCTGCGAGCCGTCGTTTGTGGCGACATTTGAGCCGCGAGCTGAGCATTGGCTTCATAGGGATCCGTGTTAAAGTATGATGTCAAATAATTGAGAAGAGATTGCTGGATGTCCTGCGGCCAGACGTCCAGCAATTTCGCCGCGCGGCCGTGATAAGAAAGGCGCGCGACGAATCGCGGCCGAAACGACACGTACTGGGTGCGATGTTTCAGACTCGCGACCATCACAATGGGAAGATTACTACGGGCCCTTTTTGAGTATTTGACGTCATACTATAACAGGGACCCCTATGAAGCCAATGCTCAAGTCGCGGCTCAAATGTCGCTTCGAATGACGGATAAACAAAAAGAGCAAAGGAGTTCTGGGCGGCAACGCCTCCTCCAGTACGTCCTCCCATCCGTGCCTGCCCAATCAATCACGGTCAGCCCGACTATCCCCGGGTTCTCCGAAAGGGGATTGTCGGAATTTTTGCGGATTTTTGGTACCATATGCGGAACCAGAGACATGAGAAAGCCTCGAGAACAAAATTCGAAATCCGAGTGGACGGTGCCCTCAAGGCTACAAAAAAAATCTGATAGTTCGCGATAGAGTTAGAGTAAGATGGTCGATCTGATCGAGCACTGTGAAACTAATACAAGGTGCACTACGCTACAAACCAAATAACATCCTACATTACTAGAGCTCAATGATGCACAAAAATGTCACAATGGAGTTGGATTAGATCGGCTTATCCGAATGTGTCTAATATGGAGCTTTTACAATAACAGCTAGAGCTAGTCTTTCAGCTAACAAATTGATCGTATGACTGCAGTTCTTTAAGGCCCCGGACAGACTTCACGCGATTTGATCGTCGCGACTCAATCGCCGACATTTCCATTCATTTTCATTTCACATTCAAAAATTTCGGGCTGGAAAAGTATCACAATCGAATACAAGTTGATAGGCATGGAATGATGTTGTAACAGTTGTCTCCTCGCGATTCAGTCGCGACGATCAAATCGCGTGAAGTCTGCCCGGGGCCTAAGGCTACTCCTCCGAATGATTGCGAGTAAAACTGCTTAAGCGGATGGCCAAACGAAGATAGCAGAAAAGTGATCCGAGGAATGTAAGGCTTAAAAGCTGCTGCGTCTAATGCTTGTGCCAAAAAAGTTTTTATTCACCAAAGCCAGTCACTTGTACGGAGTTTAACTGGTTGCAATCTTCAGTAGCGTTTCGGAGGAGGCAATTGGAGTGCTACAAGCGGAGTAGCAACAAAATTGTGAATATCCATTACAAAGAATTCCACCAGAAGTGCAGTTTCGTGGGCAAGAGGCACGCCGAAGTGAGCTGGTGGATAGCATATGTCAACAAAGCTGCGTCCACCCAGACTATTGAGAAAGGATATCAAAGACAGACGCACTGTAATCAGCATCACAGCATCATTCCTTGAAATCCTTCCTTGAAATCGCTCAAAGCAAGTGGGCTTGTTTTGAAAAAAACGTAGAAGAGATTGAAACAGACATGCTTTTGGGCACCGCTCATAATTCAATACATAGCACACTTAAGTTTATCCTATGTCATGAGAATGACGCTAAGACGGAGTACTTACTTAGATACTTAGATGGCCCGTCCTCACGTGACGTACGGGCCTCAGTACAGAAGGTGCCATTGATCCCTGTCCCTCGCTTTGGACATCCACGATCTTCTTGGTCGTCGTCGGTGGCTGCGTCCACGAGTTCCAGGTGCGAGAATCGTATCCAGCTGATTTCTCAGCTGGTCCATTCGTTCCACGAACACGTCTGCCCACCTCGTCGGTGGTCTTCCTCGAGGACGTTTTGCTTCGCGAGGAATCCACTCAGATGTTCTTAGTGTCCATCTATCGTCCGTTCTTCTCATTAAGTGACCGGCCCATCGGTGTTTCGCTTTCGCAACGTATTCCGCTGGGTCACGAAGACGGGACATTCTTCTCATATCTGTGCTGCGAAGTCCGAGTAGATGTTGTTTGTGTCGGGTCATCTTCAGAAGACTGCGCTCGAGTGCTCTGTGGGTGGTCCTTGAAGCTTTCGACGTGGCTACGGTGTCGGCCCAAGTCTCAGCTGCGTAGCAGAGCGCTGGGAGAACGGTTGAGTCGAACAGGTGGGCACGAAGCTCCGGGTCCGTCAGTTGGTCGGTGGCTTCCTTCAGAGGCCCGAAGGCGGCCCAGGCTGCTCTTCTTCTCCTGTTAAGTTCTTCCCTCAAGTCGTTCTCCATGTTCATCGAACGTCCGAGATACACGTAAGAAGACGTCTCCATGATAGGGGTGCCTTCCAATTCCATTTCTGCATCTTCGCAAAGGGCGTTCTTCATGAACTGAGTCTTCTTCCAATTTATTCGCAGTCCGATCTTCTTCCCTACTTCGTTTAGTTCCTTCAGCATCGCCTCTGCTTCATGATACTGCTCGAGAAAAGGACGATGTCATCCGCAAAACGAAGAATGGATAGGAATCTCCCATCAACTCGTATGCCTCTCTCTTCCCAGTCTAGTGACTTCATCACCCACTGCAAGGCCGCGATGAACAGCTTCGGCGAAATAGTGTCACCTTGTCGAACCCCCTTCCCAAATAGAATGGTTATGGGGCGATGGAATAGCTGTATCGTTGTTGTACAGTCCTTGTAGCAGTCGGCTAGTGTCCTCACGTAAGCTGGTTCCACTCCTTGATCGACTAGCGCAGACAGGATGGCGTTGGTTTCGACGCTGTCATTTCTCGTAGTCGACGAAGGTTAGGACGAGAGGCAGTCGGTACTCCCGGCAGACTTCTATGACCCTCGAAACCGTCTGGATGTGGTTCATGCAGCTGAATCCTTTGCGCAATCCAGCTTGTTCTTGGGGTTGGGCTTCATCCAGTGTCCTAGATATGCGTGCGAGGATAATCTTCGTGAAGAGCTTGTACAGCACACTCAGCAGGCATATTGGAGGGTAATTTCGAAGATCTTCCCGTTCACCCTTCTTAAAAAGAAGGACGGTTCTTGACGTTCTCCACTGGTCGGGAATCCTCTCCTTCTGAAGGTAAGATGTCAGGTGCGACGCGAGAATCTCGTGTAGACGTTGTCCTCCGGCTCGCAGAAATTCGACGGAAAGATGGTCTGGTCCTGGAGCCGTGGATGTCTTCATGATCTGAATTGCCGTGAGCACTTCAGCAAGCAGAATTCGTGGTGGTAGTCCTCCAGTGGGAACAACGGGCATCGGCACGGGTGTTGATGAGCGGAAGAGGTTGGCATAGAAGTTCTTCGCGATAGATTCCATCTTGTATCGGGAAGAAGTCGGAGTCCCGTCTTCGTTCAATAGTGCAGCCAGCGGTACGTGATATTCACAGAGGTCCCTTCGGCACTTCTTAAGACTTAGTCTTCTTTCGGCTGCTTCCAGTATCTTGGCTTGCCTGTACTTTCTGAGATCCTCCTGCATAGCTGTTCTGCAACTGGTGTTGGCTATCAGTCGTTCGAGATGGGTTACATTCGGATCCTGCCTCAGAAATCTTCTTCTTTCGAGCAATTCCTTGGTGGTCTTCGAAATACGTTCCAAGTTCTTCTTAGAAGTCACTGAGGCACATTCTCCGCAGGCTCGCAATCCTTTCAGGAGCCGGTCGTAGTCGTACGTCGGGTCCTCTTCGATGGGCCAGTCACATCTTGACATGAGCTCCTCCAGCCTGTTCCCGTCATGAACGACTTCCTTCCTTCTCGCGGCACTGTGACAGACTTTCTTTTCCAGCCTTCGGCTGAGTCGTATCTTCGCTCGAAGGAGGCGGTGATCGGACCCACTGCAGAAGGATGAAACTACTGAAACATCGAGCAAGCTCCACCTTCGGTTGGTGAGAATGTGGTCGATCTCCGCGTGAGTCGTTCCGTTGGGCGATTCCCATGTCCACCGGCGATGTTCTTTCTTCATGAAGATGGAATTTCCATGGAAGAGTCATGCGGCGGAGAGAAGCCCAGCGAGACGGTTGCCGTTTTCGTTCCGGAGCCCATATCCAAACTTCCCGATCCTATATTCCTTTTCTAGTGGCATCCCGATTTTCGCATTGAATTCGCCCACAACATGCTTGTAGAAGGACTTTTCGTTGCGGACGACCTCCCCCACGTCGTCGTAAAAAGCATCTAGTTCTGAGTCGTCAGCTGCTGATGTTGGAGATTAGCAGCTGATGATGCTGATGGTCTTCTGACGTGGAGGGCGTAGTCGTAGGATGGCTAGTCGGGGTGATAAAATTTCGTGCGAATCGACAAGATGGACGACAGATGGATGGACGACAAAGCCAACGCCTCCCACGTTTCGTGATGGAACCTTCTCACCACGAATGATGAGCGTCCCATCATTCATCTGTCGCACGTCCTTCTTCCTGGACTTCGTTTCCTGCAGAGCGATGATGTGGTACTTGATGTGCTCTGCAGCGTCGAGAAGAGCGTGGAGGTCGGCGTTTGTGGAGACTGTCCTGGCGTTGTAGGTGCAGAGCATGAGGCAGTCTCCGTGGCGTGTCGTCCGGGCAGACGTGTCGTTTTTGTCCAATCCAAAAGGCGCCCTGAGGACCCTGACATCAGTCTTGCTACCACCCGGCGCCGTAGGCGGGATCCGATGTGCAGGGTTTCTTTCTATTCTTCTAACTGGTAGAGTAATGAAATTTTTCCCCTACAAGAGCAGACTTACTAGGCCAACTCTTGACTCAAGACAGAGTAGCAGGAAGATAAGAAAGGTACATAGGGAACGCTCTCGGAACTTGGACTTTCTGTAAGAGTTCAAAAACACTATCAGTGTCAGCTGGCTTACCGCGACTCCAATAAATGGAACGAACGAAGGAAACAGTATGATGTCGCCTGGACCTCGAGAAGAGTTAACCCAATCGAGAAACACCAGAAAGGAGGTGCTTTCTCGAGATGAGCCTAAGTCACACCTACGATATGCGCTGCTTTAAGAACACTTTTGATATTTTGAAAAAAGTCAAGCTTACCGTGGTAAAAGGAAAGAGAATGTGAAAGCCTATTCGTAGAGCAACAGCTATGAGAATTAAAAGAGGCAATTTGACAAAAGCTGCCATAGATCGACTAATGTTAGATGAACAACGAGCGCGCCTAAAAAATGATGGCGTAAACAGATTTGATGATTTGGTGTTGATCGGATCTGATGTTGAACCAAGACCTGCATTCAATGTGCTCAGCCTCCTTCTCAGCTGCAAGTGGCTGCTCTATAATGTGATGGAGCTGCATTGATAGGGAATCGTAAATCTCTACTGGCTTTGGCAATTTCAAGATGACAAATTGGGTGTGTGCATTTCAAAGACGAGAGTCAAGAAAGAGAATGTTAGAAGTGATCGAAAATCGATTATTGTTGAATACACAAAGGGAAACCTATGGCATAAAGCCAGAAGATAGCAGATTTCTTAAAATTATCGAAACGTGCAGTTTGTGTCATGAATTTCTTATCTCATCCATTCCGTCGCGACGCTCCTTCTGTTCATCATTTAAGAGCTTTTACCTTTAGGTTCAGTATCAAAGCAAATGAGCTGCTTTGCTGGCAAATTTGGGTAGAACCGCAAGGAAAGATTACCTATAAATCATAGATTAAATCAGTCCCTTTAGAATAAGTACCATCGGTCATTCCAATTCACCACAATTATATTCCACTCTTGCTCCTCCCAGTAATTTTTTAAGCTCCCTTTCATAATCATTTCAGACTCAAAAATCATTTCTTGCCAAAAGCTCAAAACTAGCTTCTCTTTTCTCCCACAATCGCTAAGACTTTCTCTGAAGAACTACATAAGTTAACTTCCTAATGTTTTCGTCGAGGCCCTCCTTATTCGCTTAATTTGTCTGCCGCTTACTTTCCGCTGTTTTTTAGGTTGCTGTAGCATTAGATACAGTAATTACTGGGAAAGCTCAAAGTCGAAACATAAAGAAGGCTTTAATCTGTAAATGCCTTCGTCTTCTCTGCTTAAAGGGAGTGTCCCGGCAAAATTTCACGCTCCAGTCACCTCTTCAAAGCCCTCCGGCCATGGCTGAAGCTATACCTGAAGCTGAAGCTATAACTGAGCTTTTCAGTGTTTGAGAAAGGCATGAATGAGCTTTTTTTGAAGCTCTCTGTGTCCGCGTTTTCGCTTCACATTACGTGTAAGAGCGGCGTCCGGAAGACTTCCGGAGCAAACTTTGGCTTTCCAGAAATGCTTTTTCGCTCCAAACTTTACTGACAGTTAGATTGAGTCTACCATTGCAACAGTGTAAAATCCCGGTACCAATCGCTTTGATAGTATGCTGCCTTCAAGATAATAAAATAGGGATGCTGCAACCCAATATGGAATCGGTATTACGGATTTGAGTAGAAAATCGATGACTACATAATGAAGGACTGCTTTTATTTTCAAAGATAGTTATCCCAACTTAGTTTGGATTACGATCTTGATGTCACAATGTTTGTTGAGATTTCTCGAACTCAGATAAAACTGTGCTGTTTTATCGGTTAGACTACAAAAGTACCAAAATATTGGTTTCTCCGTGCTGAAAGTTTCTACAGTGTCACATTGTAAGAAAATTAGCAGAAAAAGAAACATTTCCAACGACTTTTTCCATTTCATTTAATTGTACTGGTTGCTTTGCCTTTATTCCCCGATCAAATTACTATACAGGCAAACAACAAGTTCCGATCGGATTTATGAATGAACACAGTTAGATCATAAATTTTATCCAAAAGCAGAAAATGATCACTGCTCAGCTACTATAATAATATGCCTCATAAAATGTCATAACCCGTTTCCAAAAGAAATTAGAGAAATACCTGCACATAAAAAGAATACAATCTATGTGATCAGCAAAATGCTCTCATAGAAAATTATTTAGGAGAAAGTTACGCTAATATGTGAAATTCGTGGAAATAATTCGAAAGCCCAATGCATAAATATAATCGAACGCACTCGGAGATGAAACATGAAACAGGACTCTTATCATAAGTTAGTCGTTTGCAGCCTATTATATTATACAGCAAGCAAGCATATTGTCAATCATTACAGCAACAAAAATAAAATTCTACACAGTAAGGCATTACTTGAGATCTCAGTGATTATAGTCAATGTGACCCATAATCAATCTAGCGACTGCAAACACTTGCTACATACAGTCAGCTATAAAACTACAAATTTTACTGATTTTTCCTGTATTTAGAATCACAAATGTGTTTGCTCAGTGTCTTGGTAAAAGCGCATACTAGTGTCCGATTTACTCTGCAACAAGGCTGCTCCCCCATTCGACGACGGATACCGAGCAGCGTTTTGCGGTGTGTTGTCGTAGCACGTCTTAGCCATGTCTCCTACACAGCGATTCGTTGCACTAAATAAAGATAATTTTGTGGCAGCGAACTTAGACGAGTTCGCCTACCGTGTTCCTCTCATATCCGAATTGTGGTTGTTTGTGTTCACCATGGTGATAATACTCGTATAGTCATCATTGGACGCACCGTCGCCTTTCATCTGAAGTATATATGTTTTTGCTGTGAATGTCACTTTGTTAGAGATACTGCAGGAAATAAAGCGGTACGGTGATTGTTGTTGTATGTCTGTATTTAATTGTTCAGCTAACGATCAAACTTCCAAAATCTCTTGCTAACACAATCACTAGAAGACTTAGCAAAAACTGGCAAGTCTTCAGGCAGATAAGAATAGAAAAGGAAGATAAGCACACTGAATTCAATATATTGCTCCCGGTATAAAAAATTTTACTTTTTTTGTTTCTATTTTGATTTTCCTAACAAACAAAGGTCAGTAATGTTGCATACTTGTAGCTGAGTGTTGAGCAGTCCATATAGGATCCAATTTGACGAACTCCCAAAATAGGGGAGTAAATGAACGCAGTAGATTACGAAAAGGAGTAATTCACTGGTAGTTGTGGGTAGTCCCGCAATGGACATCACTATCGCGTAAAGTACAGAGAACCTTCAAGGTTAATATTTAACTTTTTTTTATTCAAGCTGACAGCAGTGTACCAAGCTGAGAACTTACCAATATGGCGTCCAGCACACAAAATAAACAGCGGCTATCAATACGGTGTACATGACTACCCGTCTTAGGGGTATAGCTGACCTTGGAAGTACTCTGCAAAACTTGGATTATCTGGAGATAAAGCGCTTGAAGCTCTCAATCAGGGCATGACTCAAAACTCACCGTTTGTGAACATATAGTTTTCGGATAAGGTTCCAGTTGAAGAAAACAATGAGAATTAGTGGCACGATGTAACCAAGAATAAAGGTTCTGAAATGGCTTCTAGTTACAGAAAAAAAATTGATCACAACTAAAAATGATAAAAATTTTCAAAGCACAGGGATGTTACTAGGCATATTGATATTTATATTTTCTTATTGATACTCGACAACAAGCGTAGATTTGGGCTGGTGGATTAGTCCAAATTTCTGCGACAGCAAGCAGTTTTATTCGCTACAATTTCAAATCCCTGGAAAAGGAAAGCCTAAAGTGAGTTTTTCACTTACGTTGAAGTGAACCAATAAAATATTGGAGGAGGCATCATGTCCGAGCATTTGAAAACTCGAACTCTCGTAATGTTAAAGCTGTCCATGGCTTTTAGCTCATGCAAGACCATCTCTTTCGCCCTCGCATATGTGAGCATCGGCAGTAGAAGGAAAAACGCGAGGACAGAAAGACCTAAAACAGACACTCGTTAACCCAATGCAACATCTTATTACTCTTAGAAGATTTTTCAATTAAGTTATTTGTATTAAAAACCACTCACAGCATATCACTCCAAGCACGAACGATCTGCTCCGCAGATATGTGTGATGAGGATGACAAACGGCCACATACCGGTCGAAACTCATAGCTGTGATTAGAAATGTCGAAACTATTCGGCCGACCGAGCCGCAAACATGATGCACTTTGCACATCCATGTGCCGAAAATCCAGAAACCGATAACGCTGTCCTGAAATTTTCTCGAGTTCGTATGATCACACTAAACAATGGCTGCTCTTTGACGGTCATCAGTGATGGACGACCGCTTAATTGTTGGTTCTCCACTTTGGTTTCTTTCCATGTTTTCGAGGCTACGGTTTCTTTCTCATATGTATTTTGACTAATCAAACCTAAAGGAGACAGAAGAAGGAAGGGTACTAATTAATGAGATATAAATTTGAAATTGATTTCATTTTTTACACTCAACCGGTTCCGGGATTAAAACTAGACCGGTGGAGTAGCTTTCTTGGTGCTCCTCTTCAGCAGCTCTCAAGAAAGCTGCAAAAATAGTCAAAATTGATTACAGAGATAGTTTTTGGTGTCCTTCTAAAGAGGTTGAAGGAGAGAATAGAGATGAGAGATTATTGGTGACGAAAGTAGAAAATGTAAGGAGACACTGGTCATAATGCATGACTGAGGTCCCAACACCTACACTGTTATTACATACCAAGTTTGAATGCGACCTATTCATTCTGGCGCACAGATACAGTTGCGTAACGTTGAAGATCAAATGTTGCAGTTTGCTGTTTACCTTGACTAAGAATGCTTGAAAGTTAAGGTTAGGTTTATTGAAAGGTAAAATACAATGAGTTTTTTCTTTCTTTGTTTAGAAGTATCGGCTACTAAGATTCTAAAATATGAGGAACCATGAAATACATGCATTCATTGGGCGCAAGTATTAGGATAAGTTTGTTCACTTACGAGAATAGCCGGCGGAAGGCTGAGACTCATCAAGAAATCGCAGACACATAATGCTGCGATATACAAAATGGCATTGTCCCCTTGCCGCCGAGCCCGCGATCGTCGATCCGCCATCACACTTCGGATGAGCGTCAAAATCGAAGAGTTCCCACATACTCCAACTACGAAGCATAATACGAAGACTATGATCACTAACAGCACTTTAGGTTGGAGCTCCTGAAAAGAGGCTTATTTAGAAAAGCTCCAGTTTTCCAATCATAACGTTGTCAAGAATATAAAATTTGATTTTTGCGTCTTGCTATCCGATTGTTAAAATCGTTTTTGCTTAGGAGCAGTGCTGCTACAAGTGTGTAATTACTTCTTGGGGTACATTATGTACTGCGTATGTAGGAAGGACCTCGGATGGCTATCGAATTCGCTATTTTCAAGCACATTTTTTCTCAATTTAGCTACGAAAAATAACTTGGTGCTTATCCCGCTGCGATAGCATGGAAATTGCCATTATTTTCCTAACAACCTAAAAATCTATTATTCAGTTGGTATTCGTTAAAAATCCTAAGCGCTTGAAAAGCAAGAACTTGTTTGAATCTTCTAATTGAGTCAAACTAATATGCAGCATGAACGTGAGTTTTGCTTTCACCTTATCATTTTATAAAGATGTATTACGAAAACAGACTGATTTCTTTTTTGTTTTTCACAAGTAATAGCAAAAGATGATTCATTCAGAGCACATCGAAATTCGAAAAACAACGTGTTTCTCCTTTCTTTTTTGCTTTCTGATCAACAGCATAATTTCCACGCATTTGCATTATCAGCAAAAGCAGTTTCACCCAAGGCTTCAAAAAGCAAATGTGTAATGAAGGAATGTAAGCTTAAGCGGATGAATTATAATTTTCATTTACAACTAAGCTAATATTTTATCCAAAGTTTATCTGGTGACAACATTGTCAGCAACTCAAAAACTTGATCTTGAAAAGAAATGATTAGGATGATTTTGTTGTATAGTGTTGCTATTCCAATTTGTCTATCATTACAGGAGGTATAAGTCGATCATAACTACGTAGCTTTGATCCCCCAACGTAAGGCTGATTTTAGATCAGTGAACCTTGGATTTCCATTGCGGGAAGCACTTGCTATAAGAGTTTGTAGTCATACGAAAATTCCATGCATGTTGTTGCACTGATTGCTGAGACCACTTCAGAAAGGAAAGGCAGAAACAAAAATGGCACCGCAAGCTTCGTCTTTCTATCATTAGTGAGCTTTGGGGTTGGAAAGTAAACTAAAAATGATGCACCGAAAATCGAGAAGTAGTCTGCTACTTAAATAAAGAGCTTGCAATTGTAATAGATACTTCCGCTATGTTCTACTTCACGGTAGTATACACCACATTTAGAAAGAGATGATTGAATAACCTTAGCTTTTCTGTTGTTTCAAGTTTTACCCTTTATTTGTTCCTCTAATTTAGCAGCTAATTCTTGAGGAAAAAACCATTTTTCATGAAAAATGCTCAGTCGTTTGAGTGCTTTTTTCTTCTGGTTTTTGTACATAACCTCGTTTCCATTGGTTCATTCTGTTGCTGCGTACCTAACCTCACCGGATAGGACAAAACGGATACGAAATTTCCTTTCCTGCTTTTTTGCCGTAAATTCTAAGCCAGAGAAGAAGATTTCATATACCTATGTATTTTTGCCGGGACTTGCGCTACAAAATGCTTACCTAGATAAATAATCTAAACTTTTGGACTTTTAGCATAAACATGACCTATCCTCATGACCGACAATTTCTCAATTTCCGCCTCACTCAATATAACCTAACTTTACCGTTAGCAAAGTTTTCGAAGAGGCTTAGTGGTTTTGAAGAGTAACTACTGTATCCTTTCTTGCTTTCACGTTAATCCGTTCCATTCATTTATTTTCAACAACTGCTGTACCAACAAAACACAAACTGTAACAAACAATTTCTCAAATTCGACTGCTACAGAAAAGTTATTGAGAAAAGTGACCGAATCCGTTCTTCTTCGTGGGATGTTAGAATTGATTTTTTACAGGTCCCCATTTATTTAATAGCTATAGAACTGTTCCTCTTTGTGTATGCCCAGAATGCGTGGGAGTAGTGAAACCCTACAAACGACATTCGTTGAAACCGAATTTTTATCAGTAGAGTATTGGCGAAAGATCAAATTATACGAGCAAAGCTCATTCCTCACTTTAATAATACTCTGGAATTAAGAAGATCAACGGCTTCTGCAGGAAACGTTGCGCTTTGAACTTTCAAAGAGCAAATTGAAACATTTTGAACTTTGTTGCGAATCGAAAATCATTCTTAGAGAAAGCCGTAAAGTTAAAGGGATGCATAAATATTCGAGAGACTGAATCACCATCTCATGTCTGTAATTTGATTCCTTCGCTATGGGCATAGTTGATATTAATTTCAAAGACATGCCGTATATTTGAACCTCGACGTTTGGGAAAGAACCCAGCCTTCCTTTGATAGAAGCCATGGGATCAATCAAAGCTTTCCGGAAAAGGCAGGAAATGTTAGTCAACGGTGAACACAAAAAAAGTAGAAATTCATCACATGCTTATGAATCACTACCATCCAATCATCAGAAAAAATGTAAAAACTCATGATGATGTTAAATAAGATAAGCCATCAACTTAGTCACCATCGCATCTTGGAAAAGAAAAGCATAGTCGATTTCGTAATATAATAATCAAATATTCTATTCGTTACTGCAGGATTGGGAAGAGTTTTACAAGATTTTTGCGGTCTTGAAGCAAATATCGTCCCAGAAATTGATCATGTTATTCCAATCAACGGCATTGCACTTTACGGTAACTTCCATCATGAGTTACGCTAGATACGACGTAAGAGCGACTTTTTAGGATACTCAGTAAAAGTTATACTTTCTAAGCTTTGTTAAATCTGTACAAAGTTATTGTAATGCGACAACACCAAACAAAGCTCTACTCATCTCGAGTATTTTTTTGAAATTGCAGCAACTAATTGCAAATCTCATTATACTGATCTACCGGCGTGTTTGATGAAAAAAGGGTTGGCGTTCTTTTTTTGTACTTTGATGAATGAAGTCAACTTTTAAGTGTCTGAACGTCGAAACTTTTCAAATAAGAGAGTTTTATTAGCGATTTAACGTTCAATGCAAATTGTTTTGGACACCATGGATACGCTGAAGGATGAGTTTGTCAAGTGATGCCCAAAATGAGGTGTCGACAGAAATTTAGAGACTATGAGAATGCTTATAACTTTTTTTCGAGGAATTGTATAAGAATAAAGTAGCTGTATTCATTGTAAATGTTTTACAAGCGCTTTATTTACACATTTTTGAGTTTCTAGTCTGAGGCCGCGAAAAATTAGCAGAAGATTTTTACGCAATCACAATAAAGTTGGTTGTGCAGAACTTTTCTCCAGTGCGAGAACAGTTTGTTTCAAGTTCCTCTCCGGATTACTCTAGCATGATCTAGATCTAGTAAAATAGCCTAACCCAGGGATCGGCACAGCTGGCACCGGGTCAAGCCGGATATTTTTTTGTACAAAAAAGCAAAGGGGATATCGTTTTTGTGCCCGGAAAGACACAAAAATCTGGAATTTTTTTTTAGTCGAATTTTCGCTTTTTCGTTTGGTTTAGAAAATGGGGCTTCGTATGAAATTTTCAGGATCAAAGGGGACTTCGCTTCGAAATTTCCCTGGTGGCAGCTCGTGCCGAGCCCTGGCCTCTTCTGATGCAAGGATGTAATTTTCCGCTCCAAACCTATTCCTATCGTCTCAAGTGACCTTACTCACTACAAATCTATTGGAGCATAAATGGCACTGTCGTAAGCAGAGCAAAAGTGCAGATATTTTCACACTAGGATGAAGATGCCCGTAGAACTGTCACTGTTCTAGAGTGCAAAACATCCTCCTTCTGAAACACTTTCACTTCCGATAGTAAAGTGGAGAGGAAAATTAGCGTGAAAATCTCTAGCAGCTTACAAAAAAGTTTTGAGGTTGTTGGATTTGATCATAAGCGCTCAGTATTAGCAGTGTAATATATTTTTAAAGAATTGAGAAAAACAGTTGAAATCATACATTGAGTTGAACTATCAACTGTTTACTCAAGACAACTACAAGATACACGACCAAAGTTTTGCAAACATTATTTCGCTTTTGAATATTATTCTGTGAAGATTGCTTCCTCTCCTTAAGGAAGTATTTGATAAGTGACATAATTTTCTTTTAGTTCACATGATTCTTTTCCTCAAAGCACTACTTACGAATGATTAAGCCGACTCTATAATTTCCATTTTTATTCTGCTGCTCTCTTTTTCATCAACTTCTCATAAGTCGGATCTATCGGCACTATAAAGGCTTAGTCTCTTCTTATTTTAAGCATCTTATATCATGATGTTGAGCATGATATACGGGGATTTCCTCAAATGTTTCAAGAAATTCAAAGATTTCCAGCTATTGAACGCTTTTTCCAACTAAACGCTTCCTTTCACAGCTGCCTTCGCTCTTAGCAATTACTTTCTGTCTCAATGAATTTGCTCTGACAAGGAAAATTACAAAATAAGGACTCAAGCAACAATTTTGCAGAAAGTCGCAAAACGGAAGAAATGCGGTGTCTTTTCAGCACTTCGAGGCTATTCTCCATTTTCTGCTAACGAAAACATATATGACATTTTTGCTACCCTTCAAGAGATTCTCAACACAAAATACTTTGCAGCTGATGGTTACTTTTCAAAAATACAAAAAAAACTATGGCATGATCCATACGGTTCCGAGTGGCAATGATAACGAGCATACAACTTATATTTTTCGCTGAATGAAATTAGGATTCTTCCGTGCATATCGTTAATGAGATCAAGAACATATTTGTTTTTGAAAACATTTTAGCAAATCGCATCACTGGGATTTACTATCATTTTGATCTCAGGCGCATCTTCAATCCTTGAGAAGAGAGAAAAGCGTTGGTGGTTACTATGTATATTTATAGTATATCAAATGGAAAACAATATCTCTTGTTTTTATAGCCCTTCTTGAGCACGAAACAAGAATACTTATTCTTACTGAATTTATGCGCTCCATCGCATCAGATAATGCATGATTAGAAAGATGTATTACAAACCTTTGGGCTAAATAAAACAAATCGAGGACAAACAATGAAAATAAAAATCAAAAATATTCTCTCTACAGAAAGTTCATGCGGTTGCGACAGT